CACCTATTTCTGCAGCATCAATAGCAGTCTGACAGAGATAGTTCCTCAGTATATATTTAGGATTCACCAAATCCATCGAGGTCTTCCTCTCATCATCCGAAATGCCACTGATAGACAGCTGCAATACCACGGGTAAATGATGTTAGATGACAAAAGCAAGAATTATTGCTGCAAGTCATGGCATAGGAAGTTAAACTTCTTATCATAACAGCAATTTCCTCGTAGCACAATCCATTCGTATATTTTTTGGTATAACACTACTACTCATTCGTTTAAATAATAAGAAAAGATTCACAGTAAATGACTATCGTATGGCCGTGATGAGATTCTGACTTAATCAAATTTTAGAAGATATACAAATTTGATGACAAAACTTCGAGAACCCAATAATATATGCAAGTCAAATATTGAGTGGTTTCTCGTTTTCTGAAATCTGAATGAAAAAGGTTGCAATAATGGGTATGCCTCTCGCAAACAGGTGGTTAATGAAAATAAATGGACCATAAATTTGACCAGTATTGATCCGATATTCTGTCACTCGAAACTTTTCAATGGGCCAGGGAGAGTAAGTAATGTAAAAATCAATTTATTTGATGCAGGTGAAACAAACTAAAACTCTTGGGCATGAGAAAAGAAATCAAAGAACAAATGGGGATGACTCTGCAAATGGATGTGTAACTTAAAAATGGCGTAAAGAAGCAAAACAAGAGTTCCAGAGGTTCAACATAAGTACGCACCCAACCAGAAAATTGACATAGTTTCAAGCATGGCAGGACATACTGAGAAAAGTCAGGCATATGCAAACCCAGAGATAGAGAGAAGAAAAGCCACTATCAACCATAGTACATAAACATTTTTACTACAAGTGGATAACTTAACCAAAAGAATATACAATAACTGTACCTCGTGTATATATGCTTTCAACCAACTAGTCCATGCTTCCTTACGCTCTTTACCAATATCTAACAGTACTGACTTTAGTGGGACTAACAGCTCATCATCTGGAATGCTGGTGTCTGCTTTAATATTTGAAAGTGTACGGAAGAAGTTTGTGTAATCAACTTTATCAACAGCCATATTGCTAAGAAGTTTATTAATCAGCTGCTTATTATACTTAGGGAGGCCAAGCTTTTTGGTCATTATAACCTGATAATCATCCATAAATTTCGTTCCGTATCTGAAACAAACCAACAATCATGTGAAATATTTAAATGCAATTAATTCTATTTTCTCCTCTAAGGTTAAAAAAAGGATAGCAGAAGTGTTACTACTACCTTTCCATAGCATAGTTAGCCTCTTTTTCATCTATTAAATGAGCAGCTTGTAGTGTTGTTGTGAACTGTGCAATATTCCACAGACCAATGTCAGGCTGGTTTGCAAAACAGTATCTTCGACCTGGAAGATCTGTAGTATTTGGGGTAAATTTAGGATCAAAAGCATCCAAAAATCCAAATGGGCCATAATCTATCGTAAGACCCAAAATACTCATATTATCTGTGTTCAGGACACCATGAGTGAAACCAACCCCCTGCCATCTAGCAATCAAGGAAGCAGTTCGCTCAGCAACCTCCACAACCCATGCTGACCAAAAAATACCATTGAAAAGAAGGAATAGATAGTCAACATTCAAGTTTGATATGAAAATACAATGAAGGCAGTATAATCCAGAAGAGAAGCTTGAAGATTCAAAAGAATCACTAGTTTGCACTTTGGGCTAAACTTTAAAATCTCATTGGTTTAAAATATGTAATTATTATGTGTGATAAGTAGTCAGGCAGAGCTAACTTATTTAACTAGCATCATGTTTCAACTCCTACTAGGGTTATTTTAATAATTATAATAGGGTCTCAAGCTCAGGAACTAGTCTATGAAAGGGATTCAGCCCATGTTTATCTTTCTCTTTGGGGATTCTTTTTAAAATACTCAATAAACTGGCAAGAAAAAAAAAAGGAAATGTTTAACCAAAATATGGTTATTTAAAAACACAGTATTGTGATTTTTTCCATCATTTGTCACTTATTTGGGCTGTTTATGTTGCAGCAGCTAGTTTATTTAACCCGGGCTTATGCTTACGATTACCTGGTGCAATTTAAGCAACGTACCAAATAACCACTCAAAAGTGCTTATTCAGATCAAACTTCAATTCAAACAGAATAACCATGTTGAACGGTTATTTGCTCCTTCATTACAAATCTTAAGGTAAGTCTGCCATTAATCTAGAAAAAAATAATACCTGCATACTTGTTTGAAGTAAGATCTACAACAGAATGATCTTCATCACCAGTGGAGAAAGATAAGCTTTCACTCTTACTCATATTTTCAATATGAGGAAAGTGATGCTTGATAGTATAGTCTGCCAAAATACGAACAAGGCCAAGGTCCTCATCACCTCTGGAGGCATGTATTTGGTATGATCCAAAACGTAGAAAAGATTGGGCGACCCTGCAAACAATTGCACCAGGTTCTTCCTTTGGATTGCCACTGCATGTGAAATATTAACAACATATTCATGTAATTAATTTTTAAAATGTAAAGGATACACATTCGTAAACCAAAGTAAATTTCAGCTATTCATATCACATAAAACTAAAATTGAGCTTCAACCCCCCCCCCCCCTTCTCAGGTGTGTGAAGTGAACAAAGCTAAGTTCTACTCTTATGCATGGAATATGACACGAAAATTTCACCAAAAATGATGCGATATGTAAGTTGTCTACGAGAGAAAGGAATCATTTAGCCCTTCATTCTTTGAACCTCGGCATTTGTAATCAGAACTTGCTAACTTGGAAATCATCTAATTATGTAGAGGCTGGAATTTTTAATAACCATAACAATTTTAAGACGTTTTAACAATAGTATAGCATTAGTGAAAGTTCAGCAAGCATACTCATAGAACATGTCTCGAGTGACCAGTTTTCCAGTGGTCACAAGACAGAGTGCACGAGTTGTTGGTATCCCCAGGTGGTGCATTGCTTCACTGCAAAGAAACTCCCTGACGCTGCTGCGCAGCACTGCAAGGCCATCAGCAAAGCGACTGTAAGGAGTCTTCCCAGCTCCTTTAAGTTGCAGTTCCCACCTCTCAGACTTTGAATTCAGTATCTCCCCTAGCGTAATTGCCCTACCATCGCCCAACTGCCCAGCCCACATACCAAATTGATGCCCACCATAGCACTGAGCGTAAGGCAACCTGTACAGAAGAGGATCGATCAATCACAGTCAGTCACGGCTATTTGTAACATTATTGCCAGTCCCATAAACCCAAAGAAATATGTAAAGCACTTACGCTCCAACCAAAGGTGAAGCTCCAGAGAAGAAAAGGGGAAAATCTGGCCTCTCAAATCTGAAACTCAAAAAACAAAAACGGATTAGGCATGGTAATAACCCTCACAATTGACAAAACTATTCGAAAGTAGATTTAAACACACACAATACAAGTGTTTGTGATGTTCAAACTCTCCATTATAAGCAAAAATTTGATTAATGCAAAATATACTGCAGGTATGTTTGCAATGGAATGGAAATTTTGAAGATGAACCTAAGTAAGAAACATAAGCATAAAGGGAAACGAAGAGTGAGGAATCATACATAAGTAAGGAAGTAAGAAACTCACTCCTTAAGGTCCAAATCGAGTAGGTCAGCAACTGGTTGGGACCAGGCTACAAGCTGAGGGTCTTCTACCGGAGCGGATGGAGAGACTTTAGTGTAACAAGCATGCAGAACCTGAAAGGAGAAGCATAGAAATTAGGAATTGGAAATGCGGAAACGGAAAGGGAGGGGAAAGAAGGGGGAGACCTCTCGGGGAAAGGAATCGGAGCGGGGATCGGCGGGTAATTCTCTGACGAAGGAATGGTCCCATTTGAGATCTTCGAGGCTCAACCTGTGGAGATTGTGATTGCTGAGGCGCTGCGTGACGGAGTCGATAGAAGAGTGGTCCATGGAGCGGCATGCAAGTGGAGGGTAGAAACGGAAAATCCTCTTGGAGAGGGCGGTGGGGCGGTGGCGGAGAGAGAGTGGAAGGAGCGAATTGGGGGAGAAGAGGTGGGTGTGGGTGAGTGAGACGAGTCGTGCCATATTTGTTTTGAGAATATGAAATGGTTTTCGGGTCAACCGTTCTCGCGTTCGGTCCGGTACAGTGTGATGGGATGGGATGGGATGTCGTGCGTGCCCAAATCCTAACCCTTTGTCCATCACACGACACGTATACCAATTCAACACTACAAATACATTTTCATTTTTAGTTAATGTACTGTATCTCACTTCCTTCAATACTATAAGTAAATTGTCCTCAAAAAATTTTATTTATGAAAAATTATTAACAATAATTTCTGTCTAATAAAATTAGGATAAATTATATTTATTTAAATAATAACTTAATACAAATCTGTAAGCTGTTTTACTATTTTTTTAAGACAATTTTAATAAATATTAAATGAATAAAAAGAATATATATATATATAATACATGAAAAAACATCTTTTTGTTTTTTTTATTAAATTTTAATTATGTAATTATATTAAAGTAAGATAGATATCATCTATAACTCGTTATATATATTATTTTCATATTATTATTATTATTAATACTATCATTATAAATAACGATCATTATGTATTATCTTCTTTAGACATCATCATTGTCATGTAATAATTATTAACATGAATGAAATTTCACTTCCACTGTCTTCTTTCATATTGCAAAATTTAGAAACAAACATGTTTACAATTACAAATAAATAAAAAAACTGACATATTTCCACTGTAATCCTTTATATGACAAAATTTACAAATAAACATGTCTGCAATTATAATTATTAAGAATTAAATAAATATGAATGTTTAGTCCATGATTACATATCTTTTGAAAAATACTGATTATCATCATTAAATGATATTATTATTATTATTATTATCTATGAAGATTATGTTATTATTATTATTATTATTATATTTTATCGTTATTAGTTTTTACATTAGCGTCATCATAACCTAATTCATCCACTCCATGACATTTATCGGTACACAAAGTAAAATTGAGAAAGTTATCCAATTTAAAACTTATTATACTCAGTAAATTTGTAATTTTTTTTAATATTTTGAATTTATTTTAATAATATTTTTTTTATTCACAAGGTGTAACTTTCACAGTAACAAAATTATATAAATATAAATATAAGATTTATTTTCAGTTACATCAAAATATAATAATTAGAAGAAAAAAAAAACAACTTTTCCTGTTTCTGAATAAAAAATTTATCTAAACATTTTAAAAAATTGTAAACATCAAAGGCGGAAAGGAAGACATCGATCGCAATACATTGATCTTTACGTTTTAAATTCAAAAGTTTTCTTCCGCTTCTGGGTCCGAATTAAAATTGTCTGTTTGCAATCGCTGAAGGCATTGAGGAAGTCGTGTTTGAACAGTTGATTGGTGGGTTTTATAATTTTGACGCTCGAGGTACGATATGGAATTTGATCTCTCCGATAGCAGTGGTGGGTTATTTCAATTTTTTGGTTGTTGTTTGTGGGGTTTTCATTTTAGGTGGAGTGTGCTACATTGTGTCTATTCTAGGTGGTCACCAGACCCTATCCTACCTCTCTCTACTGTTTTCTGTGTATGATGTATTGTGTTTCTACAATGACATTGGACTGGATTGAACATTGTTATTTTTGTGAGGTGAAACTTTGTTCTCTAAAACTGCAATATTTTAATTTCATCTGATATGTTGACTCAATATTGAGAATAACTGCAGCCACTTTGCTACATGGAGAAGCTGTTTGATAGATACTGGCTAGAATGAGTATGAACTGTAGTTTTGGGAATTATAATTTTGGTCTATTTATTTTAAATTGCGAAGTTAACATGTAGGGATTATTGTTGTTAGTGACACCATCATGCATGTGTTAAGTAGGTGACCTGAATAACTTCATTTTGTCCCTCCTTTATGCTAATCTTAATTTTCATCTCATGCGACAGATTGTGATCTCTACCCGTCATTAAAAGATTTTTACATTTGGTCAATCCTACAAACTAAAACATCTATAGTAATTTTCTTATTATCCAAATATTGGAAAAAAAATGGTTCTAACTGATAAGAGACAGGACATTATTAATAATAATAAATAAGAAAACACGTAAAAGTACAGTGTAGACATGGTTATATTGATATGTTCTACTATCGTAAATTTTCTTAGATATCAGAATGATACGAGTTAATATTTCAATTCTGTTATGAGAAATGACATGAGTGAACATTTTGCTTATTAATTTCCATAATATGAAACAGGAACAGATGATGATCTTCCTCCTTCCCATCAACGGCAATATAGATTTCAACATCCAGATCATGCTGCTGTAACTAGAAATGGAAGATCAGCAATCATAGGCTCTGGTTCATTTCCCAAAATAAACAATGACATGGAAACACAAATCCATAACATTGAGCAAGAAGCATACACCTCTGTCCTGCGGGCTTTTAAAGCTCAATCTGATGCAATCTCTTGGGTACTTTTGCCTCGGTTCACTGGTTTGTCTTTCTATAAAGTATGTTGAATAGTATTGACAATGACTTCTTTTTGTTCCTATGAACTTCAGGAAAAAGAAAGTTTAATTACAGAGCTTAGAAAGGAGCTAAGAGTATCAGATGAAGAGCACAGAGAACTTCTATCAAGAGTCAATGCTGATGACATGATTCACAGGATAAGGTCATATTATATTTTGTCATATTCTACTGAGAAGTTTCTGTATAGAATCGAGCAAACTGTGGTTTGCTCTGCATTTCAATGTGGGGTGTAACCAATTGTGCTGTTAGGGAGTGGAGAAAGGGAAACGGGCTCCAACCTGGAACTGTATCTACTGCTGAACAAGTTCATGATCACAATATCAGCCCTACCGTTTCAGCATCTCGTAAAAAACTAAAGACGTCTCAATCTGTGGCCTCATTATCCTTGGGTGCACCATCTCCCACAGTTCGTCCATCTATGCAACCATCATCATCCACATTGAAGCATGGACCTCCACCAGGAACAAAGACCAAAAAGCAAAAATCAGTAAGCCTTTTGGTTTTGGAATATCAAGAAAACAAAATACTGAGTTACACTTCATCTATGGCCGTTGTTTCCCATTCTCAAATAAATAAATAAACATTATTTGTGTGTCTCACTGACGTCCATACAGTTCCCTTCTACAGGACTTACAAGCCGAAGCCAGGTCACTAATCAGGGGGGGTCTTCTGGTGCTTTTGCAGCAAAAGGACCTACTGAAGGAGCTTCTTATGATCCGTGTATTGGAAGGAAAGTTTGGACAAGGTGGCCGGACGACAACCACTTCTATGAAGCTGTTATAACTGATTATAACTCTGCTGAGGTGCGTTTGTATTATACTATAACTGAGGAACACAGACCTCTATTGATATTTCTATTTAAATATTCTGTAGGAACTGCATGCTTTGGTCTATGATATGAATTCAGCAAATGAAACATGGGAGTGGGTCAATCTGAAAGAGGTAAAATTCTTGCAATGTAAATGAAATCGTGTTCATTATAATAGCATATCATTTAGACCTAGCTTTAGCTTGCCCTTTTTTTTTTTCTTTTTTTTTTTTCAAGCAATACTTTTCTCCTGACAAGTAAAACTTTTAGTTTTTCACACGGTGACCATGCGTCTCATAATCTCATTCCTTGGGGTAGGAAGTATCTCATGAATTTTATCAATAAACATTTTCCTGCCCAAAACTAAAATCTAATTTGTTTCCCGTCGAAGGGATTGACATTAGTCACTGTCCTTGGATGCAAACAAATGAAACTTCAAGTATATGTGGGATGATTCTTTTTAAAAATAAAATCAGGCCACACCTCTGCTCCAAAGATACACGGTTTCGTGCTCAAATTTTGGTTCACTTGTTTGTTGGGATCCTAAGCATGAAGTTGTAACCGATAACATATCGTGATGCATCTTTTGCCTTTGGTTCGTGAGACATGCTAACTTGGTGATATTGTTACTTCTTTAATGAAATCCTTCTACTTTCATGAGGGTCAACCTGGTTGTGAGGATTGGAATAGATGCATGAAAACTTAGGTTGATCCCCTTGCCACCATTGCACGCAAAAAAAAAAAAAAAAAAATAAATAAATTGAAACCCTTCTTTTTTCACGTCAAAAATATATAAATGCTTTTGTTTTTTCACAATTTACCGCAAAGAAATATAAATAGGCTTGCTCTCTGGATTTATTGATTACATCGATTATTTATTACAACTTTTTGTTCATTTAGAGAGCAAAACTGTATTAGTTATTCTATGATAGTAAAGGATTTTCCTATCTCCACTTCTCTAGTCATTATTTTTTTATCAACTAGTCTCAAGAGTTTATGTGGTTGTTGCTAACCATCAACTCAATCAGTGATGAAATCTTAGTAACTGTATAGAGTATTTATTCAATGTGGTAGATATCTCCAAAGGATATACGTTGGGAGGGTAAGGATCCTGACATATCTCGTAAAAGTGGCCAGTCTGCTCCACGTAGAGGATTGAAGAAGTCTGTGTCTCGTGGTGGAGTTACTGGTGCCGGAAGAGGTAGGGGAATGACGAAGTTTCAGCCAAAGAAAGATTCTACTTCATCACAAAATGGGAGCAGGAAGAAGCCTGCCGATGATATTAAGATACTTCACACAGATACCCTTATCAAGGAGGTATAAGCATATGCAACAGAAATTTTCAAATTTGTGTTAGTTCGATTTGGCTACTCTACATGATACCAATATTTGGCTCCGTAATATTTACCTATCGGATTGGAACCAAAACAGGTTGAAAAGGTTTTTACTGCCAATCCTGCTGATCCCATTGAAATGGAGAAAGCAAAGAAAATGCTAAAAGTGAGTATCAACAATTTTCTTGGTTCTTGCTTTATTTTATCTATGTTTTTACACCCTTTGAAATGCAGGAACATGAACAGGCTCTTGTTAATGCAATTGCCAGGCTCGGAGATGTGTCTGAGGGAGAAAGTGGTAATGACTAAGTAACTAGAAATTTGTTCTTGTATAATTATAGTTTTCACCATATTCTGTTGTATCTTAATTTTTGGATACTGCTAGTAGGCCAGCAAAAAGGGTTGGGGAGTGGGGTTTTCTTTATGAACATTTTTTTGCCACTAGAGTAGTTAAGTATATGATGATGAAATACAAAGCTATGAATAACGCGTGGGCGTTCTTTTCTTTGTTATCTGGCTAGCATATAACTTTCTTTCTTGATGAAATACCATGTGTATATTGTATTGCATTATTTAATAACTTAGCTCCCTTTTTCGATTATTGATTACAAGAGTCTTTCATACTTTATGTTCCTTGAACTCTCTTGCTTTAAGTCAGATGCAGAACCTCCCTTGTTGCGAGGGCAGTCCATGAATCAGGAAAAACACTGGAAGAAACGACAGCATAATCTAGGCAGTGTTAGAGTACTCGATCGTTCAGATGGTGATAAAATACAAAGACAGACATCAGATGGCGATAAAATACAAAGACGGACCGGTGTTCCCTCTTAGTATCGATACGAATCTGGCAACGCCGCATGGCTATTATAATATGCTATGTCTATTATCATGAATTTTTTTTATCGATTATTAAGGTGTAGATTTTTGTTTTTTTTTAAATTAGTTATATGTAGCTGTAACATGTAAATTACAAATTTTGAAAACATGGTTTTTATGCTGGTAATTCCTCTTCCCTCACACATACTATCAGCAGAGATGCTTACTCTATCTATGTCACTGATTTCTTTGATTTATAAGTGGAATAGGCGACACAAATCAACAGTGTAATATGCAGATTTAACAAGTCAGATTATATACACAGATCAATCCCAACAGATATGTAATCCACACTCAACAATAAGTTATTTGTCTTTACAGTGATGCAACAAACTTAATGATGAGATCCACCAATTCAGCATCAAAACCAGGTCCTTCCATCTGAAAGTGGCCTACACCATCGATTAGATGTGTTTCAGCACGTCCTGCCGCAGAATTAAGCTTGTTTCTCAACTGCTTTACGCTTGTGAACCCGTCTTGCGTTCCCATAATGAAGAGCTTTGGTTTAGGGGACTGTAGGATGGCTTTGTGGTGTCGTCCAAAAAGGATTGAGGCAGCAATTCCAAATGGGTAGCCTATGCTTACATAGCCAATGACTTTTTCAATCTGATCAACAGCAGAACCTGCTATAGGGGCACCTGTAATAATAAAAACAACTCAAATATATTGCAATTCATTCCGACTTGAACATAAATGCAACTGCGAATTACCACATCCCATAATGCAGTTTTGTCACATACAAGAAGCATGGGACTAACAACACAAGTCCAATTAACAGCTCATATGTAAACTCAAGCACGCCTCCTATTTAGTTAAATATCATTTCAACACCTAAATGGGGGTCTATATGTAAACCAGGAAAAAACAAAAAAATTTCCTTTCTAGGTCCCATAACAGGGTTAGGTTAGAATCCTAAACACAACCAGCAAACATTTTCACTAACTGAAATCTAATCCATACATTTGCTAAAGATGAGACCTTAAGATATAAATTCGTCCACAGAACGGATCATATGAGAAAATTGAAAAGATTAAAAAGGGGGAGGGTGATCAATTTGACAGATCTGATCTGGGAAATGATACCTGCAGAAGAACCCACCAACAAAAACCTAGAAAGAGAGGAAGTGTTGGAGAGCCAGTTGCAGACAGCAACGACATCCTTAATTTCAGCGAAACCAGTAAGAGAAGGCCTGCCAGTGGATTTGCCAGCGCCTCTCATGTCAAAGGTGACAGAGGTGTAACCCTTGAGAGCCAACCCAGAAGCGATTCCTTTAAGGAGACCCTGACAACCACCCAATATGGAATATGGGTGCACCAAAACGATCCCTAAGTTCCTATTTTCTTCTCTTTGTGGCTTGAACACCTTCGTACGGAGTTTCACTCCGTTGCTGCTTTCCACCGTGAAGGACTCCACCGAGTAGTCCTCTATCAACATAGTCACAGCGATGAAGATGACAAGGATGAGAAGCGTATCCAATGAAATACATTTATGAACAAATGTTATTAATCACCGTGCTCTCTTCAATTCTTCCCAACTACTTTTCTCCAGCAGAAAAATAAGGGAAAAATATATTTAATAATATTTTTTTATAAATTAAAATTAAATTATTTTAAAAATAAAAAATTTAAGGAGATAAATGAACAAAAATTGTAAATTAATTTATCATAAATTAAATAATAATTTTGAACACATTATTTTTTTCTATCATATCTCCTGTTACTACACGTGTTGTGTGAACCAAAAACATATTTGGTGGTTGGACTGTTAGTTGGGAGTTAGACGCTGGGAATCGCTATTTTTCCATAAGCAAAATTTATGCTCACCACGCAAAATAATATATATCAGTTATTTTTATTTCAATTAAGTTGTAATTGTAATATTATCTTCCGATTTATTTTTTAAATGACTAGAAGTAAAATCACAAAATACAAGTAAGAATATTTATTAAATCTTTAATCCATATAAAAAATATCAAAGACTGAAAATAAATAAAATAATTGGATTGTGGATCGTCAACTTAATAATAAGATTTGAAAAGTGTACATCACTATGTATAAGCACAAATTATATAATAATAGTGTGATAAATATTCTAAGCCTTTTACATAAAAAAATTTGGTTATGATAAATTATTGAATAATATATCATGATTAGAGATATTAATAGAGAACTTATTGAATGTGAATAGTATTATATTTAATCGGTTTTGAAATAATTATGTACTTTAATTCTTTAATATGAATATTTTGATAATATTTGAGGATATTAATAATATTTGAGCATTTGATATGATCGAGTATCAATTAATTATAGGATTCTTGGAAATTACTTTAAAATATTTATTTAACAAATAAAGATAAATATCCATATTATCTTGAGTAGTTACGATAATTCACTCTTATATAAATATGTTTAACATCTCATTTTTTCCACTTAATTTACTTATATTCTACTTTTCTCTTCCTCACATATATGTGTGAGCATAAAGATTATTGGCAAGTATCTTCTTATACCTACTCACTCTGTTGGAGAGAAGCTCAGACACCTTTTTCAAAATTATAATAATAACACTTGACGTCCACTGTTGAACAAGGTAAAACTTCTCTTACATTTTCCTGGAGATTAGGTGGCAAGACATTCATCATCTTCCATAGATTATGGAACAAATCGCACTCATCGAAAGTCTCAGGGCCCACATGGTTTAGTTACATCAACAAATAAACGTAAAAGTTCGAGCCTTATAAGAAAAAACTGACCAAGATCAAAAGCAACCACAAGTAGAGTTAAAGGTTTTGCGCGAACGCATTGACAAGATCACCAAAAAACAAATAGCACCACGAAAAGCAGTCCAAAATGACAAAACAATCGTGACCACCGCGAAGTCCTACTCTTACTTTGAGCTCCCCCAAAATTGGCGTGGACCCCCGATTAACACCTATACTTGGATCTTCGACCCAGAAGAGCACATTGGAACCTACCTCATGCACATGGAAGTCTACTCAGACAAATATTATTTCAAATGTCGAATCTTCCCAACAACACTTATCCAAAACAATTTAGTGGTATTATGAACTCCCAAAGGGGTCCATCACATGTTTCGAGGACCTTGCAAGCAAGTTACGAGCTTAGTTCGCCACAAACCAATCTCATACAACTTACTCAATGGCTTTTAAGAGCATTTGGCAAGGAAAAAAATAGTCATCGCAAACATTCTTATAGAGGTTCGTAGTAGTTAGCCTCACCATATTGGACTTGGAACCAACGATTCTTATAACTACATTTAGTTTGAGGAGAACATCGAGCTTCGTCAAAAAAGGAAAAAAGAGTTCGACTAGCCAATTGAGAAAAATCATTTCAAGCGAGTTAGAAGGACTCACTATGACAACTAAATCAGTCATCAATTCAGTATTAATGCATTATGATGATAAACAACAAACCCCGTATATTTTACTAGCCAAATCTTATAAGACACAAAACGATGATACTTCATAATAGAAAAGTTGGTATTAACACCGGTAAACTTAGCAAGAAGACTACAATTGTATTTTCAAAGCTTCCAGGTTATTGTCCAAACCAATTACCCATTAAACAAGTACTTCAGAAACTAGAAATGGTCGAAGAGCTCAATCGAGCTATTCGAGTTTGACTTACGATTTGAAAGTTGGGGACTAATGAAGACACATTTTCTAACAGACTTCTTAGTAGAGTTAGTCACACTCTTAGAAAGATATGAGTGGTGGACCCTTAGTGCTGACGAACCATCTAATGAAAAAAGGAAGTGGAACAACGATATTACTTGAAGGACCTAATGACGTCGTATTAGAATAAATTTTACGATTCAAATTTTTTATCTTGAATAATCAAGGCGAATACGAAGCCCTCATTGTCAGTCTAAGATTGACTAAAGAGATGAGAGTTAAATACTTGTGATACAAAAGCAACTCGAAACTCATCACTGGACAAATCCAGGGAGATTTCCTAATGAATGAACTCGCCATGCAAAAATATTATCACACAGCCAAAAGTATGTTAAAAGACTTTGAGAAGACATATATCAATCACGTACCTAGAGAGTAGAATGAACGAGCCGATGTGTTATCAAAGCTCGTCAACACCAAGAAGCCTGAAAAACATAGAACGTTGATGCAAGAGACCTTAACTACCTCGAGCTGGGACACATATGAAACTTTCCAAGTCGGTACAACTCGACTCTCGAGTTGAGATACAAATGAAACTTTCAAAGTCGGTACAACTCAACCTCCAAGTTAGGATACAAATGAAACTTTCCAAGTCAGTACAACGCAACCAACATGAATGATATCGATTATTAGGGATAAAAATTAAACTCGTACCCCCAGGGATCGATCCTTTTCTGCCTTGAGTTTGACAGGAAAAAATTGAGTTGACCGAAGGCGAGACGGTTCGAATTTTCTCCGCTTTTAAAAATCAGGGGGCTAGGGTGGAGGTTGTGATGAGTACTACAATCTCCACCCCTATTTTATATTTAAATTTAAATTTTTAAAATATTATTATTTTAAAATTATTTTCTTTTATTTTTCATTATATATAAAATCATTTTTTATATGTCACATTTTTATTTTTCTTTTACATGTATTATAATTCTTTTGTCTTTTTTAATCTTTTATATCAATTAGTTCATTATATTATTTTCTTTCTCTTACCTTTCACTTTTTCACATTTTTTTAATCTCTCAAATCAATTTGTTTTTTTCAATCTTACCAGATCAATTTGACAAACATAAAATTAGTTTTTCATCTTCTTTACTTTTTTCTAAACTTTTTAGACAAATCTTAATAGTAACTAATATTATTTTATTTATAATTTATCTTTATTAGGTTTTATTATATCATATTTTATGAATCTTATTATTCTTATTTGTTATATAAGAACTTTTATCTTAATAAAATAATTGTATTTTAATATATTAAAAAGAATTGATAATTAAAACTTTTTATTACTTTGAACTAATTAAATAAGAATTAACTTATTAAATATTTTATTATAAACTGTATATTTCATATTTTTAAATAACAAGAAAAAAAAGTTAACTTATATATATATATATATATATATATAGAATTAAATATTTTAATACTTTATAATAATAATAATAATAATAATAATAATAATAATATAAGTATTCTATATTTGTATAAAGAAAAATATTTTATATATATACTTTAATATAAATATAATAAATTAAAAAATATATTTAATTAATAATTATTATAAATTTATAAATATTTATTTATGTATTTAAAAATACATTAAAATATTAAAATTAATTTATTATAAGTATAATTATTTGTTAAAAAATAATGTAGATCGAGGATAAGGAGGAAGTGGGTGGAGAAACCCGAAATCCAACTAGGACAAGGATAAAAACTTAATTTCTAACCTCAACGGAAATCGGCGACAGGGACGGTTAAAAAAAGTTAGGGGCGGGAGTGGGGTCGGGGAGGTAAAATCCACCTCCACCCCGCCCTGTTGCCATGCCTATCGATTATACAATATTTGACACAGGATCTACTACTCAAAGAAAAGTAATTGCCCAAGAAAATAAATAGAATGTTTGCTCAGTATGTAATGCACAACGGTGAACTTTTTAAATGAAGATACTTGATTCTACTCTTAAAATGTCTAAACGAGAATTAAACACAATATGTCATGGCAGAAATCCACAATGGTATATGCGACCTACACTCAATAACCAAAATGATGGTGACACTAATACTCAAAATGGGCTATTATTGGCCCACCGTAAAAGGAGACATGAAACTATTTGTCAAAAAATGTGAGATGTGCTAATAATATGACCCTTCATCACGTGGAAAATTAACATCCTTGAACCCTTCCCATAGCCAGTGGACAAGTCAAGTTTCTCGTAGTAACCATAAATTATTTTACAAAATAGATGGAAGTCAAGCTCTGACAGTTCAACAGGTGCAAAAATTCACATGAAAAAACATAATATATTAACATGACCTTCCTCGTACCATAGTGATAAACAATCAAAGATGAAAGTTTCGAACAATTCTCACAACAACTTAACACTAAACACAAGGTAATAACATCTTATTCCTTTCACTCACACTTTACTTCCCTTTTACTCACATACTTGCATGAGCATAAAGATCCTTGACGGGTATCTCCTTGCACTTATTTAGCCTATTAAAGAGGAGTTTGGTCACCCTTTTCAAAACTCCGATAACAACATTAGTGAATGAATAAATAAGAGTTATTTTTCTTGTCAATTCAATGTATCTATTTTATATATTTAAAAATAATAAGATTATTTTTAATACGTTATAAAAAGTTTATTTTAAAAATGAGTTTGAGAGTGTGTTTTCATGCGTTTTTAGATTATATTTTTTGAAAATATATTTTAGGAAATTAATTCTAGAATATGTATGAAAAACTTTTAGAAAATTTTTAAATATTTTTAGAATATATTTCTAAAAAATATAATTTAGAAATAAGTTCTAAATTTTATTCTTTGGAACATATATATAAATAATATTTTCTAAAAATATATTCTAGATTTAAAAATCTAGAATTAATTTTTAGTTTTTTAAATATATTTTTAAAAACCAAAATAAAAAAAGTGAATTTCATATTGTTGAATCCAGATTATATTTCTTGATTGTTGAATATAAAATACATTTCTTTCTGGACTTTGTTTTTCATAAATATATTCTAATTTTAACAATTCAGAGCACCACAAATAAAAATCAAATATATTATTTTACAATATATTTATTTTTATATACAATATACAATTTAAGACATAAATTATCAATCAATTTTTAATCTTAAAATAAAAATGACGATTGAGTGAAGGTGGTGGAGGAATACATCAAACGATCGTGGTATGGTAGAACGGAGCTCCGACACAAAAGGGTGTAGAAAAATTTATTCTTATGCAATAATAAGCATCATAAATAATGAGAATTCAACATTCACAATAAGGAAGGGTTTCTTTGGGCGTTGTTTAGATAGGCGAGGACATGGCCCATGGGTCAACCACTTATTGGGCCGAAACTCACAAGTAACACCCATCTTTCTCAAACTATACAACCTTTTATTTTCGTCTAACTTTTTTGACAAAAATGTCTTTCACACAAACACATTTTTCATTGTTCTTAGCACAAAATAAAAATATATTCTTTTTCATTTTCTATGAGGGGTGTGAGACCCGATAATTTTTTTCATATTTATATAACAAATTAATACAATAGAAATTTGCTTCTATTGTTTAATTAGTTCTAGATAAAAGTTACGAGTAATCGAATTAATGATGGTATATATATTAAAATTTTAATTAAAACCACATTAGTTGTAAAATAATTCTCTATTTATTAGTAGTTGAATACATTGTCATACAAATTATATTTCTAATTCAAATCGTTTTTTTTACAGGACTTGAAATTGAATTAATTACAATAACAGTAATAATTATTATACAAATAGTGAAGGAACTTATACCGTTAGTCTATAATATATTTTTTATATTAATGCTATTCATACTTAAGATGATTTTACATAATCATCGAAATAATCTATTAAATGTGTTTTACGATTAAACATAAGATAATATTTTAAATAATTATAAAATTATTCACGTGCAAACTAAACTTCAACTTATCAAATTTCTCATGAGTGTTATGATACTTTATTTAATAGTATAGATATTCAAGAGAAAAATTTCCCAAAAATGCATTTGACATTATTACCGTTGTTAAGAGTAATATATATATATATATATATATATATATATATATATATATATATATATATATATATGTGTGTGTGTGTGATTTCGTGTACTGCATTATAATGATGAGTTTTATATATGGAATATGATAGAAATCTAATATAAGTAGGAATCAAACTTAACACAGGTTAATTTGTGTAACATGCAAAAGCCACTAGTCTCATGTTAGATATGTTTTTGAATACATTATCTATTTAAATAAATATTTTTTTATTATTTATATATATAACACATGCGAAATTACATTTACATAATATCGCATTATAATGTTAATGAAAATATTTAGTTTTTAATGTCTAACGGTGGATATAATGAAATATAACCACGTGAATATTTCTTATATTTACATGATTAGTTAAGATAAAATATTAAATTATATTTTTTAAATTAATCACATGAGAAGGAACATAATAAGGTTATATGAATCTAAATTAATAAAATTTTAGCTCATAATATGAATTTAAATTAGTAGAATTTTAGCTCATAATGAAGTTTTATGTTTTTGAACTAGAACTTTAATTCACAATAAGTTTTATGTTTTTGAATTAGTGAAACATGATATTTATTACAGTTTTAAATTAAGAGAATATATTTTTAAAATTTACAATTTATCAATATATGAATATTTCGATATCAAGTGTTATATTCACGAATTGAAACATGATAATTATAAGATTTGGAAGAGATGATTTTTTCTCCATTTGAGTGGGATAAACATTGATTATGTTATTAGGAAACCAAATCGATTATTATTGAAACCAACACTTCGATGTTACTTTGTCTCGATTTCTTTTTAGTTTATTATATTTTGTGTACTTTACCTTATGAGTATGCTCCTTTCAAAATTTCTTATAACACACATAAGGATAAATGGTCTATTAATTCCCCCTTATTTGGTCCCTCAATATCATTGATAAAGATCTGCCACTGGATTCTTATGCAAAAAGAAGGGACACATGAAAAAAGTTTGTCCAAAGTTTAAGAATTGGCTAGAGAAGAAAGGTAATACATTCATTTTTGTTTGTTATAATCCTAATATGACTAGTATTAATCACAACACATGGTGAATTGATTCTTGATCTACAATTCATGTTTGTAATATCCTGTGAGGTATATAAAACCTAAGAAGATCAATGGGAAGTGAATAATACATCTATTCATGAAGTAAACTCACATGTGAAAAACATTGAAATATGAATTTTAATTTTAAGTAGTGGATTTATTTTATATTTAAAAAAAGACTTTTAATGTTCCTAGTTTTAGTAAGAACTTAATTTCCATTTCACAACTTGTACCTTTATTTTTTCTTTTAATTTTATGGATTATAGTTTTCTTTTATTGAACAAATTAAAATTCATTGATTTTGGTGAATTGTGTGATGGTCTTCACTCTATCAATTTATAAAACAATTTTACTTATAGTTCTATGCATGTTTTTGTTGGGTTAAAACAACATGCTGTGAATAAGAATTCCTTTATGTTGTTGCATCAAAGATTGAGACATATTTCTATTGAGAGAATCAAAAGATTAGTAAAAATGATGAAGTACTTAGTAATTTAGATTTTATTCATAGTGAAACTTATGTGCATTGCATCAAGGGTAAAAAAATTAACAAGTCCAAAAAGGGTGTTAAGAAAGATTCAAACTTATTAGAAATTATTCATACAAATATTTGTTGTCCATATATTGATGTAAGTAATCCAAAAAACTTTATCACATTTATAGATGATTACTCAATATATATTTATCTATACTTAATTCATTGTAAAAATAAACCTTTAGATGCCTTTAAAGTTTTGAAGATTGAAGTAGAATTACAAAGCAAAAATCAAATTAAAATTGTGAGATTAGATAGATATGGAAAGTATTATGATAGATATATAAAGAATGGACAAACACAATCCATTTGTGAAATTTCTTCAAGAATATAGGATTGTTGCCTAAAACAATTTATCTAGTTCTCTATATCACAATGGTGTGACATAAAGAATAAATTGAACTTTAATGGATATGGTGAGAAATATGAGGAGTAATATAAAACTTTCACAATTCTTGTGGATTGAAGTGCTTAAAACATTTGTGTATATAATGAACCAACTTTCAACTAAGATTATTTTAAAGACATATTTTTAATTATTTAAATGTTGAAAACCCAATTTACAACATGTACGAAGTTGAGAGGCTAGTTGAAAATAAAAATTTATAATCATAAGAAAATAAACGATTTTTTTATCATTTATTTATCTAATAAAAGAAATTTTATAAATATTACGATATTTTATGTTTTGAGTCATAAATATATTCATTACTATGAAATATTACATTGTCAAAGTGTAAGAGTGTGAAAGACATTAATAACAACAGTAAGAGATATCTCTTATTTTCAATCATTAACAAAAATCATTATGTTAATTTTGGGTTTTATTTTAAAAAATATTATAAAATAATATATTTGTAGTAGTGATAAAATGATTTGGTGGTTATGATGTAACGGGAAGGAAAATAATATTTGAATGTTTATGATTGTCTTGGACGAAGAGGGGTGAGTTGTAAATTGCAAGGACATTTGTACGTTATTAATATTAAAAATTAATATGGTCCCTAAATGTGATGGTGCGGTCCCTTTGTCACCGTCCTCCCCCATCAATTCACAATGTTATTCGATTGTTTGTTTCTTCGTCTTTTTCCCATCACATATGTCATTGGTTACATAAACGATTTTGGGATAATTCTAAACAATATTAAATGTTCAAATCAAACGTTAAACAAACATGGGATTAATTTATATTCTTCATCAAATCCGAACCATTCCTGCGACGTAGACCATTTGGTTTGTACGATAAAACACCCACAAATTCTGAGACTCTCAAGTTTTCATCTACACTCCCGTGAGCAATCATAAAACTTTATAAGCCTTGTTTTTATTTGATTTTTTTAATAAACTTTAATGAATAGAAGAATACGATTAATCAAGTAGAATTAGCTATCACGACTATTGGTGGGAGAAGATTAATGAGTACGTGGATATACCAAATCCCAGGCACATATATTCTCACTAAACAAAGTGACAGAAAGTAAATATTATTTATTTATTTATTTTAATTCCATGGAATAGGATGGGTGTGTATGTTAGTGGCATGAAGCAAGTATATAGAACATCTGAACCACTACATATGAAACATGTACGAAGAACAAAAAACATAAGAGTGTGATGGAGTACGAGGTTGTGAGTGTGTTGGTGTTAGCCATGTTGGTGTGGATGGGGTGGATAATGGGGATGGAACGTAGGCAACATGGTCAGCTTCCACCAGGACCAAGATGTTGGCCAGTGGTTGGGAACATTTTCCAACTAGGCAGGTCACCACACGAGTCCTTTACAAAGCTGGCCCATAAACACGGTCCAATCATGACCATATGGCTAGGGTCCATGTGCACAGTGGTTATCTCATCGAGCCAAGTGGCTCGTGAGATGTTCAAAAGACATGACGTGGTTCTTGCAGGGAGGAAGATTTATGAGGCCATGAGAGGGGACCATGGGAGTGAGGGCTCCCTCGTAACTTCTCAGTACAACTCTCACTGGCGCATGCTCAAGCGCTTGTGCACCACTGAGTTCTTTGTTACAAGTCGCTTAGATGCCATGCGGGGTGTGCGTGCAAAATGTATACACCGCATGTTGCATTTGATAGAACAAGCTGGTGAATCTGGCACACGTGCTGTTGATGTTGGGAGGTTCTTTTTCTTGATGGATTTTAACCTTATTGGGAACCTTATATTCTCAAAGGACTTGTTGGACTCTGAAATGGAGAGAGGGGACAAATTTTATTACCATGCACTTAAGGTTATGGAGTATGCTGGGAAGCCCAATGTGGCAGACTTTTTGCCAATTCTGAAGTGGTTTGACCCTCAGGGAATAAGGAGGAAGACGCAATTCCACGTCAACCAAGCCTTTGACATTGCAGGGTCGTTCATCAAAGAAAGGATGGAAAACGGCCACGGTGGGTCAAAGAAAAGCAATGATTACTTGGATGTTTTGTTGGCCTATCGTGGGGATGGTATCACTGAGCCTTACACCTTTTCTTCGAGAACTATTAATGTCATTATCTTTGTAAGTCCCTCCACTACGTTTTGCTTCATATGACTACCCTTTGGAAAATATCTGAACATTTGATTCGGTAGAACAGGACTAAATAAGTTGGTTAAAAAGAACAGAACTAAATAAGTTGATTGAAAAGGGATGTTAAAGTAATTAGTGATATAACTAGAAAGTGTGACAAAGTATTTGGTTGCAGGAAATGTTTACTGCAGGGACAGACACAACGACAAGCACAATCGAATGGGCAATGACAGAACTTCTGCACAACCCAAGAACATTAAAGAAAGTGCAAATGGAGTTGAGGAACAAAATAGGGAGGGATAGGAATATGGAAGAAACGGACATAGAGAATCTTCCCTACCTCCAAGCAGTCATCAAGGAGACACTGAGACTTCACCCACCTCTTCCTCTTATGGTTCCTCATATGGCCATGGAGTCTTGCAACATGCTTGGCTACAATATTCCCAAAGAGTCACAGATTTTGGTGAATGTTTGGGCAATAGGGAGGGACTGCACAGTGTGGGATGCTCCCTTGCTGTTCTGGCCTGAAAGATTTCTGGAGCCAAACCCGTTGGTGGATTACAAAGGACGTCATTTTGAGTTTATACCCTTTGGTTCGGGTCGAAGAATGTGCCCAGCCATGCCACTTGCCTCTCGTGTGCTTCCATTGGCATTAGGCTCCCTCTTGCACTCCTTCGATTGGGTTTTGCCAGATGGCCTCAAACCAGAGGAGATGGACATGACTGAGGGACTGGGAATAACACTAAGGAAAGCCATTCCTTTGAAAGTCATACCAGTGCCTTATAGAGGAGCTACTATTGAAAATGCATAACAAAGTTATGACATCCAAGCGTCCGCCACAAACAACTGCTTCCCAATTTGGTTTACAAATACTAGTTATGCCAACATAACTTTTTTTCATAGGCTCCTTCAATCTGTCTAGCTCAAAAGTCTTGAAAGATATTGACGGTCACCTTAAGGTATCCTTTTTACACACTAAAAAAAAGCTTGGGTACTCTGAACAATATACCAAAATACCTGAAATACTGTAGCAGTGTTTGCTATTTCTGTTAGTATATGATGTAACCTTTAAGATGCTTTTGAGGTCATTATTCTTTTGATCTTAATCTTTCCAAATTCAGTAACAATCGGCAACAACAATTATGCAAAGTTTACCGACACACAATACGAATTAAAGATTAATTGAGAGATCAAGCTCTCCACTTTCAATCATTTTAATAAACAGTCCAACACAGCACAACCACCGAAGTACTAGCAAAATCCGTTTTGGATGAACATAAAATTAAATTCTGCTTTCACCCCACACCAACGTGAATGAACGTTTCCGGATTAAAATGTTTTGATGCTTTTCCATATCAATTATAGCAAAGACCATTTGACACCCGATCACGAACAACTAGATCTATTTTGTTACCCATTTCACTAACACATACTTAAATGCAATGAATAAGTTTTCTGAGAAGTTGCAGATAAAATATGGATAGAAAAGAAAGATAACAATACATCCAGCCTTAAAAATGCAAGCTATCATGGACCTACAAGTATTTACATTCCCTGTCTCTGTCTCTATATATATCACAAAAAGGTCAGCTTGGCATGCTGAACAAACAGAATCATGTCAATTTGAAGTTGTTCAGACCTAATATGACATTTCTTAATGAAGTTTACGCTTACACCTACGAATAGCCCCTGCTCTGGAAGCATTTTCTTCGTCACATTCAGGAGATTCTTCCACAACACTTTCTTCCTGCACAACCAGTCCTCGATTCCGCGATAGCTTCCTTATAGGTGTTAAAGCTAAAGCAGGTTGGGAATTGTCAACACCCATCCTTTCCTGAGACTCAGTGGAACATTGAATCCGATGTGGCATCAACTCTTTCCCTTCAGGCACCACATCTTTCATAAGCTGTAAACAATGTCAACAGAGTTATACAGAGACTTATAACTTAATGTCCAGGCCTTTAAATGAAAAATGTATTTGAACCATGATATTAGTTGCCTACATGATATAATTCAACACTTCATAAAATCAACAACGTACAGATATTGTTAATTAACTGTCTGTAATAGCAGCAAAAACCAATGTTTTTTCGCAATCGTTTTGTTCTTCATTTTTCTTCTTTTCTCAAGGCCATTGGTTGAACAGAGTGCTATACAACAAACGTTGAAACCACTCAACATTATTATCAGTTTTTCCCTTTTCAAACAATGATGCTGTAACCCTAAATGATTGCACCCCCTAAAAAGGTCAATCATTGAATTAAACTCTCAAATTGCCCCTTAAATTCCCACTTTACAAGCATTGTACCCGTTTACCTTCCAATCTTGGTAATCATATCTGAATACAAAGTGGGTGTAAGAAACTTCTTTTGATGATACCAAGTTGGCAGCTGGAGCATTTTTAGGAGCTGAAAAGTAAGACAGCATAAGTACTCATGGCACAAAAAATAAATATAAAACAAGTATTCAGTTGCTTGAGGGGGAAACATATCTTACCAACATAATGCAAACGATTTTCATCTAGACTGATCTCAGCACGACCATCTTTCACTAGGAATGATAGAGAAAACAAGTTTTCCACAGTTTGAGCAAAAGACTTTCTATTCATAACTAAGTATTCAAGTCGGACACGCTTTCTCCTCCTCAAGATGTCAAACATAGTCGCCATGTTTTTGTCAGTATCAGTTTTTTCCTCTGTACCAGTCTCATCAAGCTGCTTGAAACAAACAATAATGCATAAATACCAGCGCAATCACAAACATAAAATATATAGATAAATCAATCTGTTCCACGACAAAATAAGTGTGACACCAAGGTAAACATTGCACGTGCAAATCGTGACATTTTCTTTTCATACATTGTGAACTACAAGTGGCCATTAGTCCTATAGACAAAACAAGTAGTAACGACGTTGTCACGCATTGTTTTGTAGGAATGCCTAATAAAAAGAAAAGGGAACTGACCTGTTCAGGTCTAGTAGTTGCAATTGGGCGAGGTTCACGGTTTTTGCGCACTCCGGTTTTTCGTTGCTTGAACTCCTTGTCCATAGGACCAAGCCTATAAAAAAGCAAAATAATAACAGAAAGGAAGTAGTGTAAAATTGTGAAAGGAAGAGAGGAGAGGAACTCACATGGTAGAAGAGCCATGAACGGAGAGAAAGATTGGGGACACGGCAAGGCCAAGCTTCTGCCAGTCGATTGAGTCTTGGCCTTGGCCATAGCGTATGAGCAAAGAGGAAACAAATTGCGAAGGGGTGATACCTTCGTTCGCCAAAGACCTAACAGATCCTAACAGAGTGCGTGTGAGATCCAACAGTGCCTCTGCATCTGCAACCTGCTCTCTCGGCTTCTCAACTGCAAAATTCCATCCAACCGCGTCAATCACTAAAAGGTTACATTACATGTCCAGTGGAGGAATTAATATTATAAGAAAAGAACAAGAACAAAAACAAGAATAAACCGACTAGTAGAACTACCTACCTTGGTCGTGTAACTTGTCGAACTCATCCAAAATGGTGTCGAACTTGTCGGACTCCGTGTTAATCAAATCATCCTTTTTGTCTGTTGGGTTTATTTAGGGTTAGTAAAAAAGGGATAAACAAATTGAATTGAGTGTTGCATGTAAACTGAAGAGTAAGCGGTAAAGTTAGCTACCGTTGATGAGATTCTTGAGTTTGAGGAACTGGGAACGTATGACCCTGCGAGTAGCGGGGTTCTGCTCGCTCACCGCTACATTCTTCGCACCTTCCACGGGAGCATCGCCATTGCCATTGGCTCTCCGCGAAGCTTTCATTCTGCGAAAAGCCAAAACCCTAATCTGGGATGGAAAGGGGTTTTGCTGAAGTTGGAAGCAATTGTAGAAAAAGAGTTTGTGGAAGCTTGCCTTCCCCTCTCAGGATTTGAATTTTAATCAGACTCCACAAAATCCAACCGTGCCTTTCTTTCCCGCTTGGGTCAAAATTGAGATTATGCTATTGCATGGATATTTCTTCACTGTCTGTAATTATTTTTTATTTATAGTTTGGGTGTATATAATCAAACATTTTTTATTATAAAATTACAACAAAAATATATTAACATTTTACTCAACGTTCAGGGATTTTCGTATATATATATATATATATATATATATATATATATATATATATATAGATATAGATATATTAAAAAAACTATAATTCAATAAATTATAAAGTAAAAAAATCATGAGTTTTATTAAATTAATAAATAATTTTAAAAAATAATTTCTATTTGTCAATGTCAATATTTGTGAAAAGAAATTATATTCATTTGATTTTTAAAAACTTATGAACTAAATACATCAATCCCAAAATGTAATTATTTGGGGTGTTAACTTATATGTTATAAAACATACGTAGCAATTTATTTCAATTTTAATGAAAAAGTGAAACCACAAACTGAATAAAATTGTTTATTTTTTCAAGAGATCAAAACACCAAATAGCCTCAAACCCTTTTTGGCATTCAAATCCTTTCCAATGTTTTCATGTTTGGTGTCTTCGTCTTCCTCGCTGCAAACCAACTCATTTTCAAAAACATGTTTGGCATCTTCCTTGCTCTCTTCAAAATACTTTCTTCTCTCCTCTGAATTATAAATTACATCAATCAATCCAAAAGCTTCTCCGTCACCCTCTTTTCTCTTATCCATAGCTTCACACATGAAAAACGCAATGGTATCCTTAGCCTTTAGGTTCTTGTCCTTCACAAACCGATTCCACCCTCTTGTGAACACGTAACTTTGGCTGCTCTTCCAATAGCAGTATCGAAATTTCCACAATCTCATGAGCCTGTCATAAAACACAACCTCCATGTCAACACTCCCATTTTCTTCATGCGCTTCTGCACTGCCACACACGTAAGGAAAATAGGTAACTGCATGCTTTTTGGGGATGACAAGCCTGTTGAGCTTTCCCACATCACTTGGTGTCAACTCTTTTTGGAAAAGCTGGGTGCAACAAAACTGCTCCTTATCACGATGACCATTCAAATTTACCTGCCTGGCAACAACACTTTGATGGGTTTGACGAGTGCTGAGAAATGTAGCAAAGTGTGATGGGTAGGTGCCATCTCTAATCATGTTCACCACTGTTTCTGCGCTGTGATGGCTTTGAAACTCAGGCTCCAGCACCGTTTGATCGTTCCATGGAAAGTTTCTGTGGCTCTCTCCGTTTCTGAGTTTTATACTGGCGCTGTCATAAGCCATTGCAGCCTCTCTTTCGGATTTGAAAGTCCCTAACCAGATTCTCTGGTGGTTTGCATATATCTGTGCACCCCAGTTCCCGTTTTGTTGAGGCACAACGCCTTTGAACTTCTGCAACAACGACCCTGCAGCGTTATTCTCTTCATGCATGGGGCGTTTCGCATCGTCCATTGCTGCAAAATTGATCTCGCCACAATGTGAATAGCTTCCCTTACTTCTGTCTGTCATAGTGGAGTTTGAAATCATGCTTGAATCATAAACATGTGAGAAGATGAAAAAATCTGGCAATTAATTGTGGTGATAATCAATTTCGATGTAGGAAAATGGTGGAAACTAAATTTGGTAGCAGTAACAGCACAGTTGAAAAACAGAACTAGCTAGTTCAAACAAAATTGAAGTTGTGGTGAAGAAAATCTGAAGTGGCCTTGCCTTAATTTAGACAAACTAATAATCTATTTACTTCACCATCTTGTTTTGCAAAATATGGTTGGAACAAAGTGTCTTAAGATTTTCATGTTTCATAGTACAATTGTCTTCAATCCTTAACAGAAATACCACCTGAATGACAAGTATGTTAGGGTAATCTAGCCAGATAATAATTCTTTAATTTTCAAAATATATTAATATTTTTATAAACAAATCTATTTTTAAGAAATATGATTTTGTTGTTGTAATATTTCATAAATATAAGCCAATTATATTTTTTTTTATTTTAAAAAAAATGAGGGTTGAAAATATTAAAAAAGAGATTGTGAAAAAAATAAATTATGGACCTTCTTCTCCTAGATGTGGATTGCAGATTAGCCCAACACTGTGGCTTAAAAAACCTATTTAGCTTTGATAAAGAAATTTTTTAAAAATCTATTAATATTTTATGAATTTATAAAATTTAAGAGAAATTTACAAATATTTAAAAAATATTCAAAATTACTAGTCAAAGTACAAATATAAATATATATATATATATATATATATATATATATATATATATATATATATATATATATATATATATATATATCGTTTGAATAAAAAAAGTTTATATGATATATAACAGCTAATTGGTTAAGCTCAAATCCTTCTAATCCTTCATGCATGCATCCACATATTATTGTTTTTGCTATGTGGTTTAAACGGTAAGTGCACAATTATGGTCTTTTCTGTTAATACTGAAGATGAAAATATTTATCTATTATTTTAATTTATAATTTATCAAAAGATTACATCAAATACGTATATGAATATTTATATTGTCTTCATCAAGGAAATAAGAGATTATGTGCAATGAGAGATATACCTATATAAATGGATAATAGTAATTTCAGTGTGCAGTGCAGTAGTGATACTTCTCTGTTCAGAATCCAAGTCTCAATAATATATTTGAAAAACTCAATTATACACCAATTATGTCAGATTTTATTGATTTGTCATACTCTTTTCCTTGTAGTTTTCTGCACAATTGTTTGTGTTCAAACCAAGCAAACTGATGTCAACTTTACATTTTGCATTGTAGGTGATGAGTTCATCAAACTGTTACTTACATGACTATACAGGTTAACAAAGATAATGAATAAGATAATGCGGGATTTCGTCTTGTAACATGATTCGGAACTCTGCATGTTGAAGGTTGGTTCAATTCAGTATTAATTGCATAATTCAAGCAATTAGTTAGCTTGTGGATTGACATGGAAAGTGGAATAACCTTTTCATCAACTGTCAACAACGTTTAACAGAACCACAAAAACAAGAGGTTTTGTTGCTTGCATGAAATTTGCAAAGGTAGATTGATATTTCACTATGAAAAAAACACACATCGATGAATATGTCAAACTTGATGGTTGAGATTATGAATGAAAATTTGGGATGTATAATTGAGGAATTGGGAAACAATATATACCACATAAATAATTGAAAAATGGAATGGAAGTGAGGGTATCACGAATTTAAAGAAAATAAAAAGTTGAAAAGGACGAAAAGATGTCAGATTCAGTGTTATAGTCCCTACAAGCACTGTCAGTATTTTATGGCTGAAGTGACCAGTTTGTGGCACAGAGTCGTCCATTTAAGACTTTCAAGATTTCTCATCCAAATTGTCACTTTCTCTCCTCTTATCAACTCCAATCATTTAAGATTTCTTTCTTTCTTCACACTCCGTATTTTTGGCTCAGCTACGTCAATAATAAACCTTACTATCACTCATGTCATGCCTTTCTTCCCCCACGTCCCTAACACCCTCTATATATTGCATGCTATAATCAACAATACGATCAACAACCCTCTTCACCCTTTCAACATTTTCTTCATTTGTAAGTCTTTTCCTTTCTGAATCAATTAATTTCTCTTCTTGGTTAGCTTAGTACTTTAAATTCACGTGACTTTGCTTGCTGCAGAATTTACCAAGAATGGTCACTTCATTCTCTGCCAACTCCCCCAACATTGCCACAAACAAGGTATAGTAATATTCATACAATAATTTCTACACATTCATTTAGAAAGATGTATATATTGAACAGCTCTCTATTGATATTTAAGACATCTCAAAGTACAAGGCGTCTAATGTGTCAAATAATTCAACAGTGATTCCAATAACTTAGAATTACACTGTCCACATGGATCCACTATTATATTTAACCACCATCTTTTTAACCTCAGAACTTATAATGGACATGGTGTCATGGTGAAAAATAAGTGATTATACTTATATGTATGATGCATTCAGGCTAAGTATATTTACTATAAAATCGTAGATAGATCCATTTATGGGGAAAGATTAGAGAATCAATTGTCTTCTACTTTTGTATGATATTTGCTATAAATAGGTAACAGAAGGAGATAGCAGCTACAGAGAAGAATCTGTTATGGAGAAAAGTAGCAGAGCGGATGAAAAGAAAATAGGAGGAGCGAAAGTTGCAAGCCTCTTGCTAGGTACTAAATAAATGATAGATTAATTCATTTTTCAATTTTCAAGAATATGTATGAAATAATTTCAAATATAACTTTTGAAGTAATTAGTATCACTATAAATATAACTTTTTGTGTTAAAGTAATTAGTACAAGAGTCAATAGATCTATTATATTGATCTAGTTTGATTACATCTTGTTTCTGTTCCCTTTTCGTTTGTTTGTCTTGTCAGTGAATCAAGCACTAGCTACACTAGCCTTCTTTGGAGTTGGAGTGAATTTGGTTCTGTTCCTGACCAGGGTTCTTGGTCAAGACAATGTCAATGCTGCTAATAATGTCAGCAAGTGGATAGGAACTGTTTATATGTTCTCTTTGATTGGAGCATTTCTGAGTGATTCATACTGGGGTCGATACTTAACCTGCACGGTCTTTCAGCTTGTTTTCGTTCTGGTATTTTACCATTAGTCTTTTACTGTAACATTCTATTCACAACGGTATCAACTTTTGTACCTTCTGACAAGTTGAATTTAATAGGGTTTAGCACTGTCCTCATTGTCATCTTGGCGTTTCTTGATCAACCCAGCTGGTTGTGGAGATGGCAATACTCCTTGTAAACCTTCATCAATAGGAGACGACATTTTCTACTTGTCCATATATCTAGTTGCATTTGGTTATGGGGGGCACCAACCTACTTTAGCAACATTTGGTGCGGACCAATATGATGAGAAAAATCCAAAAGAGAGGAGTGCTAAAGTAGATTTCTTCTGCTACTTTTACTTTGCCCTTAATGTTGGTTCTTTGTTCTCCAACACTGTGTTAGTCTACTATGAGGATACAGGAAAGTGGACAATGGGTTTCTTGGTATCATTGGTCTCTGCTGTCATAGCCTTTCTGGCTTTCTTACTGGGAACTCCAAGATATAGGTATGTAAAACCATGTGGAAACCCAGTGGTGAGGGTTGCTCAGGTATTTACTGTCGTTTTTAGGAAATGGAAGGTCGCTCCAGCAAAGGCAGAAGAACTTTTTGAGGTCGATGGTCCACAATCTGCTATAAAAGGCAGCAGAAAGATTCTGCACACAGATGATTTTGAGTAAGCGTTTAGATTTTAATAACAAAATGATTGTTTTCTTTCGTAATAAGAAACATTATGACCAAACCAAGAACTCAACTCTACAATCTTTCTGCAAAAGTATTATTTGCCAAAAATGTAAGAAGATTCAAGAACCAACTAATTAGAAATTACACTTACCACAAAATATATATTGTTTTCAACTTGTTTCATTTGGGGGTGCTTGTTTTTTAATACCTGGTTGTATTGAATTAGTACACCTACTTGATACATATAATTGAAAATTTGAAACTTATACCTGTGATTTGTTCTTAATATTCGGCAGATTCATGGACAAGGCAGCAACAATTAAAGAGAACGAGGAGCATAGTTCAAAAAATCCATGGCGGCTATGCACTGTGACTCAAGTGGAGGAAGCCAAATGCGTGTTAAGAATGTTACCGGTTTGGCTATGCACCATTATTTACTCAGTAGTGTTTACACAAATGGCTTCTCTTTTTGTTGAGCAAGGGGATGTGATGAACTCCTACATAGGAAGTTTTCATTTGCCAGCAGCGAGCATGTCTGCGTTTGACATCTGCAGTGTCCTTGTATGCACTGGAATTTATCGCCAAATCCTAGTTCCATTAGCTGGAAAACTAAGTGGTAATCCAAAGGGACTGAGTGAGCTTCAAAGAATGGGAATTGGCCTAATTATTGGTATGTTGGCAATGGTAGCATCTGGTGCCACAGAGATTGCAAGACTCAAACGTATTATTCATGGCCAAAAGACTAGTTCCTTAAGCATATTTTGGCAAATCCCACAGTATGTTTTGGTTGGTGCTTCAGAAGTTTTTATGTATGTTGGTCAATTGGAGTTCTTTAATGGCCAAGCCCCTGATGGCATAAAAAGCTTTGGGAGCTCACTTTGCATGGCTTCAATTTCTCTTGGAAACTATGTAAGCAGCATGCTGGTGAACATGGTTATGATAATCACAGCAAGGGGCCAAAATAAAGGTTGGATTCCAGAGAACTTGAACGCAGGGCACATGGATAGGTTCTTCTTTCTGCTTGCAGGGCTAGCTGCCTTTGACTTTGTGCTATACTTGTTATGTGCCAAGTGGTACAAGAGCATCAATGTTGAAGATAGTGACATGGGAGACCAAGAGGAGGAGGATGTAAATAGCAAAGTTTGAGAGTTTGAACTTGTCCAGTGCAAGTGTGTTGAGTATTTCTTTTCTCTCTTACAACCATTTATCCATTCAGTCAATAAGAACTGCATTCTCTCTCTGCCCACCATACACTGTTAGGTTTCTGTTTGTCATCAATTTTTGTTAAAAGAATTTGGATGTGTAAGCAGTGATTTCTTCATTGCTGGCTTAGCTTAATCATTGCCTCAGAATTAATCGTGTACATTTACAATTAATAAATATATATGATCTACAAATAGCATGAGTTCATTGATATATATGAATATAAATCTACACTATCATTCCTTACAAATAATTCTAAATATGATTACTAAAGTAATCTCATGTTAATAACATGAAGGAACAATAATTTAATCAGCAATCAATTTTCTCAATAAAAAATCATATTATTTTTCTTAATTTAGTGTATTAATAAATGTTAATTATTTTTTTAGAAAATAATATTTACTTATTTATACATTACATGCAAAAAGTAATAATAAATCTCATTGTTAATGTACATTTTAATATTAATTTTTAAATAATAATATATAAATAAATATTACAAAATTAAATTACTAAATAAATTATATTTTTTAATTTATTAAATAATTTATAATAATAATAAATAATTTTTAATTAATAATTAAATAAATAAAATATTTTATTTTATTCATTTTACTCTTATGATAAAGAAGAACATTGTATAAATATAAGTTTTTTTTATAACTTTCTTTTACATAATTCATTGTTTTAAACTATATAAAATATAAATATTTAAAATTTTATTTAGTCCAACTTTTCCAAAATAGATTTTTCTAAAAAAATTAATAAAAAAACATTAAAATAAATTTTGTCAAATTAACTTCTTTATGTATTACTAATTTTTAGAAGCTCCCGTATATTTTTTTTATAAATGTATAACATAATTTGAATTTATTTAATTTTTTTTCTCTACTAAAAATTCTCTTAGAAAAGTTTATCCAAACAGTATATGTCTATTATATAATAATAATAATAAATAATATAGTAATAAACTGTATATTATAACTTGCAGAGTATGGCAGTATTATGCTATTGATACAGGTACTATAAATTTATATCCGTTAAATTTTTTTAATGATATATTCATGTTTAACTACTTCTCTTTCGTGTGTAAAGTTCGAATATGAAGTTTTAGTTAAACAATATGATCCCACTTTCACTCCTAGTAGTAACAAAATGGTGGTAACATTTGGAATATAAATTAAATCATATTCAATATAATTATAGTTATATAAAAATATATTGCTAAATATCCATTTTTATTAAATTATTATTTTATTTATTATCATTAATATCATTATTAATAATATTATTAATACCAATAATGTGTGTATAATTTGGCATCAAATAATATATATATATATATATATATATATTAAATTGGTAAAAAAATACATGATTTTTAAATATTATAAAAAATAATGATATATTATTAATATTGTATATAATTTTTTATTTAATTATAATATATATATATATATATATATATATATATATATATATATAAAATTTTAATTTTGATTATATATATAAAATCTTATTTATTATTATTCTGGAGTCTGGTTGAGATGTGTTAATATTTTGTTTAGAAATAAGAGTCTCTAATATTGTTAGAATCAATTTTTATGTTTAAGATATTATTTATTTTAGAGGTTTAATGTATTATGGTTTTATCTTATAAAACGTATTAATAAAAGCAAGATTCTGTTAAACACACCCTAATTGTTGTTGAAATTTAGGGTTGGAGATTGTAATTGCATCGCATTTATTTATTTAATATATGACAAATCTTAAAAAAAAAACGGAGCAATGAAATGTGTAACTCACGTTAAACAAAATAAAGTTTCGTAAGTCCATTTTGAGAGGTTTGGTTTCACTAGAAGTGGTTCATGCTGATCCACCTAAGGTTACGTGATCATTCATTCAAATTTTATCTTACTTGTCAAACAGAACAAACATGTGAAGTGCACACAATCAAACTTAGCAATCCAACACAAATTGAAAAGACACACTCTAACATGTAAATACAATATTAAATACTCGTGTCTCCTGTAAAAAAATTCATTTGATAAAAAATATATTCTACCCAACACTTGTGGTATTTGAAAGAGAAAGAATAAGGAGACATGAATGCAAGAATGTATCATCTTCTCTTGGCTAAGGTGCTGCCAAATGCCGTGGCATGGAAGCTAATGATTGAGTTTAGGAGCCAAAGACATGTGCAAGAACATGAAGATTTCAAGCATTCCTTTAAGATCCCATAGCTGTCATGGTTACGTCTTCTCACATCACATTCAACGTTGCACATTAACCAAGGTATGAATTCCAGACAAAACCATTCTGTGAGACAGTGTGCCATTGAAGCAAATATTTTGGACAACTAGTTAGTTAATTAGTAGAAAAGCTATATTAATTATGAAATATTTTCCTTATTACTAACCATCCTCACTAATTAATCAGTTTCTTTCACTAAGAAATCTACATTAAGCAAGGGCTGGAAAAAAGAGTGAGTTAGGTACTCAATGAGAAAATCAAATACCGAGTTTGTTTGTCCAAAGGCATGGCACCATCACCATCCCTCTCTTATTCTTGTCTGAGAGGGAGAGCACAAAGGATGAGTATCACGACGCGGTGCTCTGGGAATTTACAACCACTTGCAAACATAGATAATAACTTTTATTGCTTCTTTGTGACCCTACTTCTATTCTCCTTTCTTATTTTTAGATAATTTTCAATTATTATTACTGTGTTTGTTTATCTTTGAAAACATGGATTAACTGATATGAAGTTGTTTCAGCTTTACACGTTACAAGAAAAACATAGAGTTCGTTTAAAAACAACACGAAAATTCCCAAATTACTCTTTAAAATCGATTTTTATAAAAAAAATAGATGCAAACATTATCATTAGCTATCTTTAATTCAGTCTGTAAAATTAAAATCTTTTTATTTTTTTTTTTACATTTTAAATGTTATTGTGCCAACAATATACGGAAGAATGTGGCAACATGAAATATAGTAATAGCGAGGCAATTGAATTTTAGAAGCTATATGGTAAGACTCGGCATTAGTTATGATGTAGCAAATTAGAGGCTGATTGACAAAAAATTGAAAAACTAGAAAATTTTGCACAGTTCAAATCCTCACTAAAACCATGTAAACTAAATTATAGAACTATCAGATTCCAGTCTTGCGCAAATCATCAGTTCCATGTGCGAAGTGACACCTGTCCCCAAAAGTGCAGGAACCCTTAGCAAAGTTTTCGCAGAGCTTGGTCTTGAAGTTGCCTGACGGAGCAGAAGTCTGTGTAGTAAAGCCTTTCATTGGAGGCCCAGATGCAGAACTAAGATTTAAAATAAGTTCGTGTACCATGGCACTTGCTTGTTTGATCTGATCAAGACTGCCTTCAAGCTCGATGTTTCTAAGGTTAGAATCCGTGTCATGATCCCTTATGGCAAGTTTAGCTCCTGTTACACGACAAATTTGCTTTGAATTAGCACCACTTTTTCCAATGACTGCTCCAGCTAGTGAAGCATTGATACTAATTTTTGCAGTGGCTGAAGCTCCAAAGCTGGCAGCAAGTGGCGGCTCGCTACGTCCACCTATCCTGCTGCTTGGCATTTGTCCCATAACACGGGGATCTTCATATGATGGAGCAGTGGGCCTGCCAAGCTCCCACTCGCCATGGGCAAAGTGACATTTGTCACCAAATTTGCAACCCTCAGCCGTATTAAACTTGTTGCATAATCGGGTTTTAACAACTGGGGGAGAAGACCCATCTGGGAAGGATGGTGGAACTGAATTTCTTCCAACATGGGGAATGGCGGGATTGCTACCAACATTGATCAGCTGAGAGACTGCTTTGAAGCCACCAGGAACATAATGCAGGAAATGACATCCTTCACCAAATGGACAACCAGAGGTGCTGCATTATAGAGGAAGAAGATGACATAAGATTAACGTATAGGCAACTTATAAAGTTAGGGACGGGACCACAGTGAAATGCTAATTCACTATATGAAGTGTGAACTGAAAATTAGACGAAAAAGAGATACAAAAGATAATCGTTTAAAAATTAGGATGATTCACTTAGAATGTATCAAGAATGCTTTCCCTTACAAATACAGTAGAACATTATCTGGGAATTTTTAGCAGTGGAAATAACAATCATTGACGACCTAAGTAACAAACAATACTGAATACCCAATGAGTACCGGGGGGGAAAGCAGGTTCATACTTGTCAAGAATATTTATCACAAATAAGACGGCAAACTTAGAGGGTCAAGTATTCTAATGACAAACAAGAGAATAGTGCAAGGTACATGATAATTAAGTACAAATAAGTGGAGAACTTTGAGCACATCGTATAAGAAAAGAAAAGATATGAAACAAACTATACGGCATGGCATATCTAATCAACAAAATTTGCAGTAATAGAGAAATCATAAACCATCTTCAAGTCTAAAATAATAAAATTCAGCAGAAACTCAATGATGTTCAATCTGATTTCTCATAGAAGAGGCTACAAACATCAAATTGCTAAATGATGCACATTAACAGAAGATAATGGAAAGTCAAAGATCCACGTGACATGGTTAAATGAATTTTATGAGTAATTTTCACATACAATCATTTTCTATACAACTTGGAATGTCTATTTGATATTCCTTCAACAACAGAACAACATAAACATGAATTCACTCTGGTGAGTTTAGACTGACTTAGGAGCAACAGTTCAGAATTGGGAGAGGACACATTTACCAATCCTGGAAAGTAAGCCACAAAAGTCTGACCCCAAAAACACACATTATAGTGCGTAGCAATATGACTAGTGTTTTAATGTTTTTCATACATTTGACATATTCCATACTAAATACACATATAAATTCTCAAAAAAATACTTAAATGTTGACATAATTGACAATAAAAAGCTTCAGATTTTATCTCTTTCAGTAAATGTGCAAGTAATTAGTAACAATGGATAACCACCAAGAAATGAGGAAAAAAGGAGTGAATAATTTGGGTGTTTGGGAGTCGAGGTGACCAGAGGGCAGACCTAAGAGACCCAGAATAGAGACAATAAACAGAGAAAATAGACTGATGGAATGAAGAAAACAAGTGCGGAGGGGGGGATCATGAGTAAATAGATAAAAACACAGATTAAGGATCATATAAGAACATCGAGACAAATTTACTAGAATTTTTTTTTAAAAAAAGGAACTGAGAATGAGAATGACATAAGAAATTAAAAAAAAAAAATGCTAAATCACATAGGGGTCATGCACTAGTCATTTGATAGGAGAGGATTACGAACTTTAGAATGATTTTCTACAAACTGAAACCTTTTAAGCCAAAATCCCACAATTAAAATTTTCTTAGAAAAAGAGCTCCACAAAATGCTACTATTGCAGTCACTACAGTGAAGCATATTGCTATGGTAGTGCTTATAGCAGCTACAAATTGCTTCACCTCTATAGCACTATATTAACAACTACAACACATGAATCCACCCTTTATGTAGTACAGAGAACTGTGACGTTCAGTGCCTAAAATGTGAGATTGGTGAGAAGAAATTGCTCTTAGTTTGGATTAGGAGTGAAATAGAGAGAAAAAGAAGAAATGAAAGAAATATAAAAGATGAAAATAAAGTGGAATAGAGAGAAATACCTCCGCTTGTTTATATTATTAAAAGAAAATACTTTAGAAAATAATTACATGAAAAATATTATTTTCATGCCAAATTAGGGGGGAAACAAATATTATCATACACTCACAGCACATATCTATATCTTCTAAAGCAGATGGCGAAAACGATGACAATAGCTCACTTTTTAATTGTTCCATAAAAAACGAACATTGGTAAAGCTTCATCTTCAATTCAAATAGAGATAATCACCGGTATAAGTTAGGAACGACAATGAATTTGAAAAGAAATCCAAACACGTGAATCATTGCAAATTTGCCCTCAGTGTAAATTGTCAGCATAATATGCAAACCAGTAGCAATTAAAAGGGCTGATTGAATTACTGGATGTTCAAGAATGACCCATTACCTTATAATTTAAGGATTTTATCAATTATGACTCAACAATGGAAAACATTAACTGAATCGAAGCATCAGGAACAAACCCATTATCTCTCCATGTTTCAAGTCAGAGATAATTAAAGCAAGGGAAGATTAGGACAAGTCAAACCTTGGGCCAAAAAACACAGGTAAAAGGCTTAATCGTAATATGTTGCAAATGTTCATATATATTGTAAAAGGTCTAATTTTATAAAAAATCAGAAACACAATATGTATTGTAAAAGGAAGTAAAAGCATAGTATTAAGCTCCAATCAGCAGGGGCCACTTCCTAGAACAGGTGAGTGGAAGATATTGCAAATTGTCAAACATAAAATTCAGTATCAAGTCATCAACATAGCTTGGCCTTGCCCACAGTTATGAAAGAGAAGGATGTCAAACTTCTCCATAATAGTTATTTTGTATCAATCAAGATGACACAACTACCACAAACTTTAAACATAAACAGATTAAATCTGTCTGCATCAATATTTCACTCAACTAAAAGACTTTTTAGAAATTAAAGATGTAACAGTGAAAAAGAAATAAAATTACATTAAATATAAATTGACAAAGCAAACAACAAAAGTTTGTTGTGGATTCCATGGAAAGTGGGAGATAGAGGGATAAAGAATGCAACGGATATGATGAAGGAAGAATTTTGATTAAATACGATTTAGAACAAATACATGACAATACTGATGTCAGCCTAGAAAAGATGTTGAAGCTATGTTAATGGAATATCTGAAGGTTCAAGTGTATTTAAAGCCCTATTTGGCACATAACAGTTGGAAGATTTGCAAAAGAAAATAATTGCTAATGGAATATATCAGGTCTAACAGCTTTCAGGAATAAGACACCTTTGGAAGACTAGTCTGAATAATTGCACATCTGCACAAAACTTTTTATCCGAAAAAATATGAAAGAAGATTAAAAAAATGAATTATGTGGTGAGATGATTAAATTTTTTGAAGATTTTTTCCTCATTATATTTCTAGATCCAAGATACTGTACTATCTGCAAGGGTGAAGAAAATCCAATATACCATGGAACAATCAGTACGTTATATATGGAACAATAAGCTAGCCTTTCCAGTTCCCATGGTTACAAACTCTGTAATATGTTGTCCTTGTAACTTCCTCTCATCCTATTTAGGCATTACTTTACAAACCATAGGTAATCTCCAAATTGAGGGATTCAAAATCAAATGAAAGTCCTCAGACAATAATCAAGGTGACAAAAATACAGAACATATCAACAGCATATATCAGCAAATGCTTATATACAAAATAACAGCATATATCAACTAAGCAATATAATAACGTAAGAATCACATTCTCATGATTACAGCATAGAGATCATTTGAACACCAGGTAATTTGAACAATTTCAAACAAAAAATAAAAAAGAAATAACTTGTGAATGCTTTCAAAAATCATTCCTTCCACTAATATTTTGGTCTATTGATAGAAATATGTCTTATGCCATGTACTGCTATACCCATTTCAATGGTCGGCATCAGACCTCATTACTTGCAAAGATTGTATAAAGTTGTATACAACCAATTACGTAGATCAAGTTACGCATCCCATAGAACTGCTTTCAATTATATATAGTCCAGGAAGCACTTAATAGAACTGATCATTCTTGAGAATCAACAATTTCTGTTCATAGTCTTGTTATCATAATTAGAAGTGGGACCTGTATCACAGCTTTAACTACCCAATTCATTAGTCAAATCATATGGATTCAGCTTGAAGAGACTGTGTATCAATTTTATCTAAAACATTAAAAAATTTATACATAATGAAGTGCATTAAATTTTTATTTTAGATAAGTTAAAGATTTGAACCTGAAAAACTTTGTGCATGGCTTCGATTTGCTTCCTAAACCAGTTGGAACGGAGTCCGTTTCTGTTACAGAACATTAATTAAGTCCTCTCAGTTAAAATTTCATTGATGTTTTATGATTCAACTTGGATAACATCCAATAATCATCTCTTCTCATTAGTTGACCATTAGCTCATTTCGATTTATATATACCAAGTGTTTTCAGGAAGGTTAACGAGACAATAATTCAACATATTCAATACATTTTATAACGGTTGAGCCTAAGCCTAACTTGTGACAAAGTATAAAATTTTAAAAAACTGAATATGTGTCTTTAAAGAGAACATAATTTTAACTGTTTTAAACAACCAGCTCCCTAAAGTATTGAACAATATACAACAACAAATAATTTTAACCAAAAAAAGGATGGAACCGGGACGAATATGCCCTAACATTTTTTAACACTTGCCAATATGTTTTATAGCTCTTGTTCAATTGTTAATCATTGGGAGCACATATGAAAACAACACAAAACAAGAAAAATTATGGGCTGCGCTCGGAAAGATTGAACAGCTAAATATAGCAAAACAAGAATACACTAGTAAAAGCAAAAACATATTGGAAGTATGTAAGTGGTAAGCAGAATGAAAAGAGAAGAGAGCAAGTGAGGAATGAGTGACACAAACCTGGCCTGAATTTCTTGGCGGCGCCATTGACATTGAAGGCAGCTTCAGACCTCCCCCTCTTGCGATGATCCATAGGTATGTCGCGAAACCCACAGAAGCAACAGAAAATAGATCCACTACAGTTGGTATGAGCTGAAACCCTAACCCTGATATTTGGTGTGGCAGTGGAACAGCAACAGCAACAAAGAAGAAGGAAGGAGGGTTCTAAGGAGGGAAGGGAAGGAGGTTGGTTAGGGTACGTATGTATCTTCTTTACCTCATCTCATCCTCTTTCTTGTCTCTATATATTGTTAGATCTATGGACATCATGCTCTATCTCTTTCTTATCTCACCAACCTTTTATCTTTTTCTTATTTACTTTACTTCTCTTTCTATTCCCCATTACCTGATTAATATTGTCTATTATTATTTGTCTTCCACTAAATTTTAACAAACAATTAAAGATAACTTTATTAAATATTAATTATATATAGATTGTAAATTTAAATATTAAATTAGTATTATGTTCTTTCACCCAATTATTTCTATTAGTGAAAAATATAAAAATAAAAAATACATTATAGAATTCTATTTTTATTTAAAATATCAATTATAGAGTTCTGTTTTTAATAAATACATGTGTTCTTATCAACATATTTTAACAAATAGTTTGTTTGACATATGAGAAAGAAAAAAAATTTGTGTAGGTTATTTTTTCACGAAACTGCAATAGAAAAAGTAAGTTACGTGAGTGAATAAAAATATTAATCCGTTTTTGTTTTTATTTTAAATAGAGTTAAATATATTTTTAATATTTGTATTTTTTTCAAAAATTAAGTTTAAACTTTATACTTTAAGATATTAATAGATTAGCAATACGTATTTATTTTTTAAAAGGATATTAAAATCATATATTATATTTTATAAATACCATTAAAAAAACCCACCATTAAATATTAAATTTAATTATAAAAAAATAAAATACATATTTAAAAAAATGAAAAAAGATAAATTGATTAATTTTAAATATAAAGATTAAAGTTAGATTTATAAAAAAAATAAAATGTATATTGTTAAAATATTATATTTTTATAAAAATATTGACATATTGACTATAATAGTTAAATCCAAAGTAAAATATTATAGGAACTTAGCATTTTTCAATAACTTAACTATTATATAGACTAAATATACATGTTTGTTCACATTTATTTATAAAATAAAATAATTTTTCTTTTATTAAATATATTAATATCTTTATCAATTACATTATTTTTTCGTTTTGTTATTCTAAAATTATTTTAGCGTAATTTTTATTATAATCTCTTATCTGAAATTAATTTTCAAACAGGATTATTAATTTTTTTAACTCATTAGTAAAAATTAAATTTTTAAATTATATCTAAAATTATTTTAAAAAACTAAAAAATTAAATCAAATAAACTTTAAAATTATAGTTATACCTTTTTTTTTAATATACATGTGTATATTTTACTACCTATAATGCTATATGTCCCAAAGTTTCACGTGAGGACGACACAAAATAATAAATTGTTCGCAACGTTGAGTGGACTTTCTTGGTTTTGGTGAAATTTTATTCGGTATATTTAATTAAAATTGATTGATTGATTAGTTTATAAATTTTAAATAATCTAAGTACATAAAAAGTATAAAATAAAGTATTATTCATAAAATTATTTTATGAGAAAAGTATTATATATATATATATATTGTTTTTATCTTATAATTATTAAAAAATATTATAATTAGATTGATATTATGTTAAATTTATTTTATATCAATTAAATTTAATTAAAATAATTCAAAAACTAGGTTAAACCTCCAATGAATTGTAAACTCCGCGTAATTGCTGTTTCTGATTTCATCCAGATACAATACAACCCAAACCCAAAATCTTGGAGTGTCTTGCTCTATTTCATCCAAAAATTCAGTCATTTGGAGCATGGTAAATGAAAAATAGGAGAGTGTCTGCAAAAGGGTGTTAGCTGAACTTCACTTCTATTTTATATTTGGACTGTTTTTCCAGGGGGAGTAGGAAAGATGCTGACTTTGGAGCAATTTAAGAACAGAAATACCTTAATAGGTCTTGGGTTGGGACAAATTCTCTCTCTTCTCATAACTTCCACTGGTTTCACCTCTTCTGAATTGGCCAAAAAAGGTTTGGCTGCATTCTCCTACTATTCATAAATATTCTCTCTATTTTTTTGGTTCTTAATAATTAGTCCACATTAGTCTTTGGTTAATGAATATTTTTGGATTGAATTATTTTCTATACAAGTCTTTTCTTTAGTTAAATTCTCCTAATTGTGTCTTTTTATCAGTAGTTCTTGCTTTCTAAATTTAATGTTAACTTCTGTTCTTCCTCACTATTGTTACAGGAATTAATGCTCCAACTTCACAGTCGCTCCTAAACTACTTATTTTTGACAATTGTCTACGGGAGCATCCTTCTGTACAGAAGGGAAGCCCTTAAGGTTATAGACGGATACATTGATTTATTTGCAATACATGATACTGTCCCTTAGATAATTATTATGTTTAATTTTTATTTATTTTGTGTGAAATTGAAGGAAGAACATTCAAAACATTCTTTTAACTGATTTGTGCATGTTAACTTCGTGTCACTTTGCATTAGACTACAGGAAACTATTTGTAGTATCACTGATATGCCTACAATTATCTGTGCTTTCATACAGTGCTGTCATTTTAAATGATGAATATATGGGGACACAAGGTTTGACATTGGTGGTGTTTTTAATATTATTACTTTGATGATAAGAAAGATATGCTTTTTGAACAAAATTTGAGGGGGACAAAAAGAAACAACGAATTTGCTGAGTCATGTGGTTCCTTTGAATTTTGTATATAGAAGTTTTGATGTAATACCTATAGAGATCCACAGGTGACTATATGTTGTTGAAATAGATGGGTAGTTGTATACTCTAAATAGAATTAGAGTAAATAGAATGTTGGAGAAAAATGGTTTCAGAGTGTCTGTGAATCTTATATATCTATTTTTAAAAAGTATGTTGTGGACCAATGATATCTCAAGCCAGTATTAATAAGTTTCATCTATTTGCATAATCCTATCTATCTACAAGTTTTGACAATATTCTTGGGAAGATGATATGGAGATACAAACTACCATACTTTTGGAACATGTGTGTTTTCACTTTAGAGCATGAAATGTAATGTTCATTAACTTTTTCAGTAAAAAAAATAAAACTTAAAAAAGAGGATCTGAGACTGCTTCCTTTAAAAATATATTTATATGCTTGTTTTACTCTGATCTCCTTTCAGCATTGAACATTCAAAGATAGTTCACTAAATCCATATGGTATTGGTGCAGGCAAAATGGTATTATTACATACTTCTTGGCTTGGTTGATGTTGAAGCAAATTTTCTTGGTAAGTGTTTCCGATGGCAATGACATAAAGGCATTACTAAACATTGTTGGAAATTGAAATTAATATATCTTTATTAAATCTGCTCAGGCAACATCAGGTCAGTAAAGAGTTAGAATTTCATGAGGAACCTGAATGTTCAAATTTAATTTTACAAATGTCTAGATTACTCCAGTATAACTTTCATGTTTTCTTTCTAGTACATATTATCTTGGACGATTCATATTTATTCTATTGAATCAAGTCACATATTAAGCTGCATCAATTTACTTTGGTGATTATCATACTAATTCTCATCTAACGAACAGTTGTGAAGGCGTATCAATACACATCACTAACAAGTGTGATGCTACTTGACTGCTGGTCCATCCCATGTGTCATGCTTTTAACGTGGATTTTCTTAAAAACAAAATATAGATCCATAAAGATAACTGGCATACTTGTTTGCCTTGCTGGCCTTGTCCTAGTTGTATTTTCAGATGTTCATGCAGCCGACCGAGCAGGTTGGTGCCTTATAATTTCTTTGAAATTGATCCCTATATCTTATGCATGGATAGAGTTGTGTTCACTATCTTTGCTCTTCAAACTCATTATCGTACATGTTGATCTTGTCATTAGTAAAGTATATCTTTCTCCTTATGGTAGTTGTCTAATTGTATATGCACATGCTATAGGTGGAAGCAACCCTCGTATAGGGGATCTTCTTGTTATTGCTGGTGCTACATTGTATGCTGTCAGCAACGTCAGTGAGGTGAACTGATTGCACTTCTGCTTTTGAACACATTTTTCAATTTTCAAATTACTCTCTGCATATACTTATGCTGAAAGCTTATCTAATTGATCCAAATTTTCAAGTTAGCTTCTTGACAGAAAAGTAAGAATATGTTGCATTTGGGCTAATTGGGATGCTTCCACATGATTCATCCATACTTAATATTTCGTTATGTGTAATCTCCTATGGTTTTGTTATTTCTTTCAAATTACAGGAGTTTCTAGTGAAAAATGCTGATAGAGTTGAGCTGATGGCAATGTTGGGTCTCTTTGGTGGCATTGTCAGTGCCATTCAAATGTATCCTTGAAATTAATTTCATTAAGAGTAGACTTTGATGCTTCTGTTGGATAATTTTTCTTAACTTCTATCTTTTTATTTGACGTCAAACTTGTGTTTTTGAAATTTGCATTGAGGAATCCGTTTTATGACACTTGCTCAAACTTCAATTTCAACACCTGTAATATAACATGTATTTGTATTTATTTGGACTTTCTTTCTCTATATCTTCATTCCATTCACCCTTTGCATAGCTGATGTATCTAATTGAAAATGTTTAAGCTAATATTACTCTGCTCTGCCTAAATAAATCAAACTATGTCATTATCATATTGCATTGGGATTTTTATTTAAGAGTTAACTATGAAATGTTTAAATAGATAGTAGTTTATAAATTAATTACAATGGGCTGAGATAAAGTTAATTTTGGTATCAAAGTCTCCTTTTAAATTCCGAGAGTGAATAAAAATAAATAAAAGCAAAAGAAGTAGAAAACACTTATATTTATTGCACTCATTATTACATCCGTAGTTCTTTTTCCTATTTTGGTCTTAATGATTATAACTTGCCACAGAAGCATACTTGAGCGCAATGAACTCAAATCTATTCACTGGTCAGCTGGGGCAGTAAGTTCTCTCTCCCTCTCTCTCTCTCTCTCTCTCTCTCTCTCACTCACTCACTCACTTGGCAAAGTTCCACTTTGACTAAGATGTCTGCAAGGCTGTAAGAGTCTGTCTCAGATGTACATGTTTGACTACATTCACAGGGTCCTTCTCTTTACATTTGGAAGAACCATAAAATTCTGAGTTGCTTTTTGTTTGCAATCATGGAATAAAACAATGAATTTGGTCCTAAGAATAGTGATGTGCCCATTTCTCTTGGAATCAGGGGTAAATATTTCGAAGCACCCCCACCCACAATTGGCCAAATGATTATAGACTATTCTCTAGTTTTGTTTTACATTTTACTACATCCCTTAAATACTATCTGTTTTGTATATCAAGTTTTTTATCTTCTAGCCACATGGCAATTTATTATTTATGTTATTTATGAACCTTTCTTGTTGTGGTGGTTGCAGGCGCTTCCTTTTGTTGGATTTGCGGTGGCCATGTTTATGTTTTACTCTTTAGTTCCTGTCCTACTTAAGGTGTGGATTCAAACTACAATGATTCTGCAGATTTTATAACTTGAAATTGTATGTTATCTAGACGGAAAGAAAGTGATCACATTAAATGGAATTGATTTTTTGGTTTCATTACTTCATTTTGTTGAATAATTTTCTATTGATTTTGCACTAAAGTTTATTTCTTGGATCAAACTATTCAGTAGTTGTCAGCATTGTGAAAAAATTATTCACCCTTGAAGTTGCTTTAGAATCTTGCGTAGTACTTGTTTCATATCTGCCTGACTCTCGACAGCATCTCTCTTGCGTCACTTTCGGGATTGAAGTGTTAGATGGCCTTAAAACATCTTACAATTTAGCTTTAGCTTTACCAAAATGAGAACTAGCATTTTATGATATTCTCTGTTGTTTTGTGACAGATCAATGGTTCCACTATGTTAAATTTGTCTCTATTGACCTCTGATATGTGGGCTGTCTTAATTCGCATTTTCGCATACCATGAGAAGGTCTGACATCAACCTTGAATGTCGCTATTTTATTTCCAATCAAATTATGTGCAGCATGCAGAGTTTACCAACATTTCAAGTGCCAATTTTACTTTACAGGTTGATCGGAAGTACTACGTTGCATTTGGTGCCGTTGTTGTTGGTCTTATTATCTATTCTGTGTATGTAATTTCACACTTTGTACGCATAAATTACTTTCTTTTAATGCACTGCAAGTTGTTTAGAAAAAGATATAACTGCATGTACGGTTGGCCGGTGATGATTTTAAGTTCACATCCTCTTTGTCAAGTTTTCCTCACGAGTACAGTGAGGTGCCTACTGCAGTTTGATCTCTCTCTAATATACGAAGTTTGTGCTGAACTGATTGCAGTGGTGACACCAATGAGAATCAAGACCATCTTCATGTTGCTGAAGATGCTAACCAAAGACAACACGATGAAGAAGCTACTACCTCAGGTAAATCATAATAACATCACTGGGCTGGAAGCACGAAAAAACCAAGCACGCCTTGAGAGGTGTTTGTAGGGTAAAACCATGATGAAGACTCTCCTTCAAAGATGGAGTTTTTACTTGGAAGCATTAATTCGATTCAATTGGTGTAGATGGACATTTGAGTGCGTTGGACTTTCTTTTCAAAATGTTTGATTGTAAAATTCAGTCAATAATAGTTTGCTAAATGTGACATTTTTATTACTTTGAAGAAAGAAGTTCTTTAAGATAGATTTTGGGTTGTTAGATTGAGGTTGTGTCTTTCTGGACCCCATGAATGTTTTGAGCCTCTTTTAAGAAATATATTGTAATGTCTTCGGTGCCTAATCTCTCACAAGCAAGAACTGTTGAGCAGATGAAATCGTCAGCATAATTATGTAAAAAAGAGGTGCAAAGGAAAATAATATATTGAGCATCACACAACTGGTTTGTGTTGGAGTTATTAAAAGAAAGTAATAACCCAAATAGGGCTATTCGATCCGTTCATTGTTACAAAACGATGATGCCACAAAGCACCTGTAAAAAAAAATGAATGGAAAGCATAATACACATAAAACAAGAATAGGCATACATCATACGGGATTGACTACTTTACAGAGAATTCCATCTATTCTATTAGAAATAAAAATGAGGTATTTACGTGGTATCTTATCTTCTAGGTATAATGGTATCTAGATATGATTGCTCAAAAAATCTCATACACTTTGTTTGATCTCATCGGTATCCACCACCACGGCCATAAGGATATTGAGGAGGATAACCACCACCTGTTTCCATCATGGAGTTATAATTACCGAGCATGTTAGACCCAGGAGGCAACCCAGCGGGTGCAGTTGGAGGTTGCATCTGCCCCATACCCCCCATGTTCATCCCCATCCCCATAGGCGGGTTCATTCCTCCGTAGCCTCTCATACCCATTCCCATGCCCATCATCGGGTTTGATGGAGGTGGTCTGAGAGCCCCAACACCCACCCGACCCATACCTGAACCAGATCCCATAGCTTTACCCATGGTTACAGTTGATGTTACCGATGTCGTGGTGGGCTTCTCCATCCTCTTCTCCTTCCTATTGATTGCATCAAAGTCAACTCCAATATCTGCTAAAGGGTTTATTTTAGCTGAAAATGAAAACATGAGAAGTCAGTGTTCATCCAGATAAGACCACACCACACCTTAGAAACAGTCTGAGAAGGTATTTAAGCACAGCACTCACGTCCAGATATATTCAAATTAACCAAGCCCCTGCTTAGTGTATCTGCCCAAACTGTAGATTTTGTTTCAAACTTGTCCTTGGAGGATGGTTGAGCAACAGCATTCTGAGAAGCATGTACTCCCGGTTGTGCCATTAAGTTTCCGCTGTTAAACTGTGATGCTTGATCAATGGGGGATTGAGAAGACAAGTAGTTTGCACTCTGTCCCATTGATGCTTGGGGAGCCGTGTTCGCAGGAATAAGTGCCATAGATCCTTGTTCATAGGTCTGGCTCATGTGTCCACCTTGCGAGTGAGGGATCATGCCTGAAGCACTTTCAGTCATAGAACCACCCTGGGAAGGGAATCCACCATATATATGACTACCTGACTGCACAGATTGAACAGTGTGAGATGGAAAGGGTTGCTGTGTATGTTGACCTGTGGGATCTGATGACGGGGGTTGTTGCGGCTGGCCACCAGGAATTGAACCGGCTTGGGCAGCAGGTTGTCTGGTTCCAACTGAGAAATCTGGCTGCGCATGTTGGCCAGACTGTGCATAATAAGATTGTGATGCCATTTGCCCTGACGAAGCTGAAAAGGAGGATGAGGATTGAGCATCAAGAGGAACTGAAAAGTTCTGCTGTGAGATCCCAGGTAATGGAGCAAGTGGAAGAATGTCTGCAAGAATATCAGTTTCCTGTGATGGTGACAGAAACTGGGAGTTCAATGACTGAGTGTGGCCGGTACTAGGTGGAGCAGAAAATGAGTCCCCAAATCCGAAGGTAGAAACTGATTCTGTATTAGAACCAGTTGGCTGAGATGGTGGACGGCTCTGATGAATCTGGGGTTGATATGGAGGAGTTTCAGTGGAAGGAATGGCCTTAAACGGTGAATCACCAAATGGATCTTCAAAAACCTGCCAAAAGTTAAACCAACAAATGATACAGCGTATTCATTCTTATTAATAATACAGCGTATTCAAATACTTTCTTATAGTGAAGGTATACAAAATCACACATTCCTACCGGATTGAAATTATTGGATGCAGATGGTGGCGGTGCTAAGACAGCCGTTGAATCAAGGTTTGCATTGACTATAGAGGTTGTTGTGTCTGATGCAGAAGGCACAAGAGGCAGTGCATTTGAAGAGAATGATTCAGATAGGGAGCCGAACAACTCCATTTCAACATTATTAACAGGAGCTTGGGCAGCTAATAAGAAACATAAAGATATCATGAATACAAAACGTAAATTAAAGAATCAATAGAAGCCCTTAAAAATAATCAAAATAAAACTAAAATCCCCAAATGGCAGATGATATCAAACTCAATTAGGGTCAGCCACTAATTATTCAAGTGAGACCCAAGTGATGGATATCTGAAGTGTTACATCTAGCCACACAACATAGTTGAACAATCCTTGAAACTTGAACGCCCTTCCATGATTTCAAGTTCCAACTGGTCCATAATCATATTTCTCAATGACAACCTACTCGGGCACATAAGCAAAAAGTTCAATTATGCACATATATACCACTCTATTGTCTGCACGCTATTTCATTAACAGATATTCACGTGTATACTGTATCTTGTGTTTCAGTTTCAAATGTCTTCAAATTTTTACACAATTGTGCACATTTATACCACTCTATTGTCTGCACGGCAATCAAACAAGAAACAAAGAACTTGTCACACCTGATACAGGACGACCACGAGGATCAAATTCATCAAAAGCCTCAACAACTTCAGGATTTCCAGATGGAGCAGTGCTGGCAGCAGGATTTGTTTCTGTTGGATTATCACTCACAATGGCAGCGGATGTTTGGTGTGGGTCACTTACAGTAGAAGAGCCTTTTGAGGCAGATGCAACTGAAATTCCCCCATCCCTGCAATCAAAATAATATATTAACAAATATCTTAAAAATAAGTAATCACAGGATTATTAAATTCATACCTTTCATTGTCTAAAGGGCTTTGAGAAGCAGCTTCTTCATAACTGGGGGGAGCACCCACATTTTGCTCAGAAAGTTTCCGCTCTAACCTAGAATGAAGGAGGAGTCATGTTTTCATGATAAATGAGAAGGAAAATTTTAAATTCAGAAAAAAGAGTCCACATTGTCAAGTGAAATTCATTAATCATTTCTGCCTATAAAGGACCCAAACCAGAATGCGTACGTATGTTGCATCAGCAATGCACCAATATGAAATCGGTATTCATGTCGTAAAATTGTGAAAATTGTGCAATTTTCCAATTAGACTAAACTGACCCATTTGAAAATCTTTTAGCCTAGTTTGACCCATTTTGATTCAACAAAATCAACACTGTTTGAAGCTTCTTCATTTTGTGCAACCATGAATCTTAACATAAAAAGCTGCTGCTTCTTCTTGAACCATCTGTCATTCAAACCTGACCCCTAACCACAATTCTTCTTCCTCCTTCTGAGCCAGTCACCCATATTTGCTCTTCAAAGTTTTATTTATTCCCTGTGCCGGTCACCATTTCTACTCTGTTCTCTATTATGTCCTTTTGATGGTTAGCTTTTATGCCTAGTAAGCTATAACTTGTCAAAAAATTGGTATGTTGCGTACTTCAGTTTTTGAACTGTTATAAGTTTTTTACTATACTACTTAATGGGTAAGTCTTATGAATATGATGCATGAACAGCCTGACATTTATGGAATATGGATTATGTTGTGTACTTGTCTTTTGGAGTTGTGTAAGTTTTTACTACTAATATACATACATGTGAAATTATGCATGTTAGAAAACACATTTGAATTTTTAAAATCTTAGAATTCAATTCATGGCTTTCACCCCTTACCACCCAATTTAAGGTAAATCCTGATTTTGACTACCTTGGTTCTCCGTAATAATTTTTAACTGAAAAGCTTAAACATATATTTCTATTTCCGAATGTCTAGATTATAAAAAAAGTTGGCTATCTCAGGCACATACCGAGAGGAACGCTGACCATCAGCATTAACATTATGATCATGATCTCTATCAGAGCTCCTGCTTCTTGAGCCATATTGGTCGTCATCAACACTTCTTCTACGGTACTCATCATCCCTATAACCATCTCTTCTATAGCGTTCCTCATAATCGTTGCCATAATTATCTCCCTCACCACTATACCGATCATCATCTCTATAACCCCATTCTCTTTCTCTTCCATAGCCATGATCACTTCTATCTTCCTCCCTGCTTCCATAACGATCATCTTCATATCTATCACCATAATTCCCACCGGAAGAATGTGAGCCAGGCCTATACATTCCACCTGTCGAACTGGTCCGAAACCTGGTGAATCATGCAGGGAAATTAATATCTCCTCCAGATTGAGAAACCCACATACATATTTACATATTACACCATTTATGATCTAGAAACCCAAAAGATATTCAAATATACAAAGGATGGATATTACAAAATACAGGGAAAAAAAAAAAATTCTTCCTCAATAAGGTGTTAGATATAAGTGTTATAGCAACTGGAAAATAACAAAGTTTAAAAAATATATATTAAAAAGAACTAATAAGAGGAGAATTACTTGTCCCTGTTAGCAGCAGCCTTCTGTCTAACCTCTATGATTTTTTCTTTATCATTCACAAGGAGAACGAGATTCTGTGATTTCCTCCTGATATTGTTTCCCTGGTCTCTTCCACTGGAATCAATATATTGAAAATTGGACAATGTCTGTTGATATGAACATCAACAATATTATCAAGTTGCATTCAAATTTTTAGATCATTTCAATAATATTAGTATCTTGAATGACAAATAGTAAACAGTTTATAAGTGTTTGCAATTGGGAAAAATAGAAATTACCGATATTTGGTGGGCATGCTCCCTAATCTCCTCTATGACACGCTCTGACCCATTAGCCACCACGTATTCTAATACTGTCAAAGCCTGTTGTTGAACATTTAATACATAAATATAAGTGCCATTCTATTCCAGGAGAGCATGATCAGTAGTAAACGAAAAATCATACAAGACAGAGTTCTTAAACAGTAAGAACCATTCAGGGTTTGTAAATAAGTATTAAAAAAAAATTCAATAATAGTGTACTTCGGTTCATGGATGCATTTAAGTATTTAAGGCCAAAAAGATGAGCATTGTGACAATAAATAAAAAGACAAAAGAGATGCCAAGAGAATCACATCTAAAACATAGAACAGTTCTACACACCTTGTAGACATGCCGCCAATTCTTGCCTGTGTCATTAATTCGCTTCCAGATTACTGCCATGATCATTTGGAATTCATAACTGCGAGTGAGCTCAAAAATGAGATATTTGTTACACAGTTTCAAGCATAAACTGATGAGTTCAAGCTTACTAATTTCTGGTAGCGTGTGCAATGTCTGCTAGAAGTGATCCATGAGGACCCCAGGCTTCATTGTTGGTAGCATCAAGAACCTGGAAGAGGGGAGTGTCCAGTCTAATTAAAATTTGCACACCATTATCTTTTATAACGTGTAAACTCCAAGATAGTCAACAAACTTTCTCTTTCGCGAGCAAATATTAGAAAAGTAAACTCAGATTGCAGACTTGACATAAATCCTCACGCCATTATCTTTGTTATGTTGTTACGTGCAATCATCATAGTTTTCCAGTGAATGTTCAGTGAACAAAATTTACCTTTTGTTCTATCCCAGGAACTTTAAGTACTTTCTTATTTACTTCTCTTTTTCTGCAAGAATAATGAAGATAGTGAGGAATTATGAAATAGGGTTGAGTTAAAAATAGTAATAAAGACCACCCTAAACAGTTAGACTTACAGTTCCCGAACAGTTTGACCAATGGCCTTCTTCATTTTAGCCGATTTTCAGTATTAGCGTGCCAGAACCACACACTACTGCCACGTAGAAATTAAAGGTCATTTCAAACTTTTGTCATGAACTAACTCAAGAACAAAATATTTTCTCATCAACACGAAGCTACTTGAATGCTAAACGATTTTTTCCAAGCAATATTCTTGTATTAAGATAGAAATTTCACGTCACCAAACCAATCAGTTTGAGAGTTGACTTATTCATCAAAGAAGAAACAAGAAATAACAATATCAATATCTGCACAACATATGATGAATTAAGCAATACGGAAAATGAGAATTCAATAATGATAAAGTAAAAATGTATGCCTGTACTTCTTGGAGTTGGGAGGGAGCAACATTAAAACTCAACTAGAGTTGCAAGCCAAATTCTAGCTACTACGGAGAAAGAACCAAAGTCACTTTGAAAATACTTCCGAGAACTTTTAGATATCAACCCAAATTCTCAAACATGCAAATGACCAATGCTATGCAGTGCCAAATCTCGTGAATTTCACTTCACCCTATCGTTTCTAATGGCAATCAAAGTTCACACAATCCGAAATAGTACAAGAAAGCACGGGAAGACATCAAATAAAGGTCCATGAATGAAATAGGATACTAAATAATCCTTCAAGCAAAGTTGAGTTGGAAAGAATATTTGAAAACTAAAGAGGGGCACCATCATAACTAAACGTAAATCACAAGCTAATAAATAATTCCAAGAAATATAAAAGATAAAATCTTTAGAAATATTGAGCCAAAAGAAGAATCAAGGAGCAAACTATACGAGAAACTAATGACAAAACGAAGATCAAAAGGGGTCCTCGAAGAAGCTTGGCATGAAATACTTAAAATTGAGGTAGAATGAGGATATCGAAGAGATGCATTAGATCCAAGAAATGAAAAAGTGAATAAATTGAAGCAAAAGCAGATCTGGGTAGACGGAACCTGATCAAACTAGTCAGCCTTAAAGCAGCAACTGAAGGTGGATGTGACGGCAACGAAGAGAGAGAAAAGATGAGGAGAGAGAGAGATTACGAGGAAGACATCAGTAACCAGGTTGCAATATGCAAGACTTCTGGAAGTTGTCTGAAAAAAAAAATAATAATTACGAGGGAAAGAAAGAGAAGTGATTTTCTCTTTGGACAAGTTCCCAGTTCAAAGCAAAGAAACTTGACAGTGCAGTTATCTTTTATTTTGAATCCAGAGTGCAACTTACCTGAAGAGAATTGAATAATAATAACCTTTGAAGGTTTTTTGAATCTACTTTCATGTAACAATGTGACACGAGTTTAAATGGTTGATCTTCCTCTGACATCTGTGTCCAACTGTTTTTGTAGTCGCTTTGTGTGAGTCAATTTGATTAGTCAAAATAATTACATTTGTTCAAGCATATTCGATTCAAAATGTTGACCCGGTAAAAGGAAAAGGAAAGTCTAGTACTTTACTCCCATTTGAAAATTTTTATTTTTTTAGTTTATTATAGCTTTAAACAAATTGCTATTAATAAATTAATTTTTATTTTGAAGAAACATGATTCTTAAAATAGTTATTATCAAAATTTAACAATCTGAGAATATATATATATATATATATATATATATATATATATTAGTTTATTAATATATAACATTTTAATAAAGTGGTTTTATACAAAAAGTTTGATAAGTTCGATTTTTAATACAAGATAAAAAAAATAGTTTGAATTTTAATATGTTCGTTAAGTGGGTACCTACGTGGATATAACTAAAATGGTTGATTTTTTTTTAAATGTTTCATTTTTTATATATAGGTTTGAAAATTTTTCGTTTTTAATAAAAAAGGGGTTTTATAATATTTATTTTTAGTGCATCATCAACTAAATTTTGACCAATTTATATATACTGTTTTAGCTTATCTATGATTTTAATGTACTCGTTTAACTATTGTTATTATTAAAAGATGATGAGACATTAAATTTAATAACATTTTAATTATGTATAGTTTTTTTCTTTTATAAATTACTTGGTAAAAAGTACTTATTATTATTATTATTATTATTATTATTATTATTATTAAACGTACCTACTAAAAACCATAAAAATGATTAATTATAAAAATTGAATCCATTGAATTTTTATTAGTCTTTCTTCCATTAGGTATTTAAAATAATAGAAATATGAGACGAAGAGTAATATTTCATGAATCAAGATGGATCTTTTTTTTTCTTTTTACTAATTTTCAATTCAAATTATTGATAAAAGAAGCTGTGAATAAAAAATCACTATTAAAAATTCTCATATTTCATAAGAATATTTTTGTGAATGTTTTATAAAAATGGTAAGAAATAAGTTTCTTATAGATTTAAATAAATTTAAAAAATTGTAAAAAATAACTAATATTTTTATTAGTGAATATCATAAAAAATGGTTAAGAAAACTACCTAAAGTGATGTCGAGAACTCAAACCTCCCTTTTTTTAGTGGATACCCTTAACTCATATTCTTCGTTAATTGTGAATCTATTGAATTTTATGCATTTACTTTTCTTTTTTCTTGGATACAAATCTAAAAGATAGTTCATAATTAATGAGGTATACTAATCTCTTGTCATTTTAGTAGTTATAATTTTTTTTGTATAGTTTGAATAGATTTTTATCAAATAACTTCTAAAAGATAATCTGATAAAATATTATTGAATTTAACTTCACATCATCACTTAACAGTTGAAAGTGAAAGAATACATTAAAATCATAATCAAGTCAAAACATCATGCATCTAGATTGGTGAAATTTTAACTAACATACTAAAAATAAAATTATCAAAACTTGTTACATAAAAAATAAAACATGTCACTTTAATTATTCACATTAAATAATCCAGGTGACAATCAATAATGAAGATTATTTATTTGTAATATTATACTAAAAACAAAAATTATCAAATAATTTTGTTTGAAGAATATATTTTATGTTATAGGAGAGTTTTGTGGGTACACAAAATTATATATCGATATGACGTTGGTATGGATAATATTGAGATTTTCAATGAGACGTTATCACCATTTTTCTTTAGAATATGAATGCATGTATCATTTTATATGATGCTCCATTGTCTCTTTCAAGGGTTAAAAAAATGTGCATCAACCAATTGTTCTTTTCGGACGCAATGTCAAACAAGTTAAAAAATTGATAATTAAAACATCCATTTCTGAATGAAGTCGTTTATAAAACATTGGCATCATGTTAGTATGTATACAAATTATTTTATGTTTATTAGTTAGTATTGCTTGGAAAATTAAAAAAAATAAATTTATATAATGTTTTTTTTTTTTTTTAATTATGTAACATTAGGTAGTGAATAGGCCTCTTCTTTAATCATTGTTCGGTGCAGCATCCTTCTCTTTATACTTTTATAGCTTGAAAAATATAGATCAATAATGAGCATTGATGCATGACACCACCCATTACAAATTAACAATGAAAGGCACCAAGACAAATTTGCTTGTATGATATCATCAACAAGTTTCAACCCTTTTCTATCTTGATGTCTCCCTTTTTATAACAAGTTGCTACTTCCTCTTTGATTAGTTAGGAGAGAACTTTTTTGTTGTCTTGTAAACGAAGCTATCATTAGTGTTATTCTGAGTTTCTTTTTGGGATTTTAGGTGTGTTAGTTCAGTCAAAATTGAGATCAATACTTATGGTCTAAACAACTAATATATATCAGCTAATCAATGCAAGTTTTTAAAATACCAATTCTCAATCAAATCAAGATTCACACATTTCATTCTTGACAGAAAATAGTAGTTTATGCTCTCATCTGTCTTTTAATAAATATTCATGGTAAATGATTGATCTTATGAAAAGAAACCTTTTTGCAGTCCATGAAAACTTGTGAATGTTGTTGAACATGTCCTGAATTCATAACAAGCAGCATGCATGCGGTTCGATCTTTCAAAATTTGGATGGCAGAACAATAACATGATTGTGTTTTCTTTTGAACTTTACATGAATGAAAGGGCCCATGAATTAGTTTAAGTTGATATTATTAGATTGTTGATGCTTATTTAATTAGATAGTGGGGAAGGTAGATAGGTCCACTTCTGTTCCTTATTGATGATGGCTACTTAATGCAAAAGAAAGTGAGTCAAGATTCCAAAGAAGGAAACATCATTTGCTGATGCGTCCAAATAACTTATCGCAATTTGATTTTATTTTATTTTTTCCGTTTTATAACGAAACCATTAAAGCTGAGAAGTTCAAACATAATAGATGGAGAACTATGTATAATGATATAGCAGAATCGAAGATTGGTGAACCCTTTTAGATTGTTCATAAAATGTAGCTGGTTCCTACCATTCCCCATTACGACTTCGGAGAAGAAACACTGTCATTCATTCCCTTCTGGGAGAAGGCAGATGCTACTAAAAAAACTGGTTGTTGTTTTTGGACACTTGAATGCATTTGAGATGGCGAGAGAATCGTGTAAATGCAAATGGTTGTGAAGAAAGCTGAATTGGTTGTTGTGAGCAGAAATTGAATTTGCTGCTTTATTACTATTATTGCAAACACAACAAGGGCAAAATACAAAAATGCGAGAATAAATAGAAAAGCAATCATACACGGCCATTAATTTATGAACAAATAAATTAAAGAGATGACTAAGAGGGGGACTGTACTTCGGACTTTCAGTTGGCATTTACATTTAAAATCTCTCTTCCTCTCGTTTTGATTTGTCCGTCACTTGAACACAATATAAGATCAGGACGTGCAGGATGGCCATCAAACAAATAGAATCAACCGGGTCTGAATCACAAATATTGTAGCCCAGAGATGATACATTCAGACTTTTATTCAAAGAACTTGGACAGGAAGATAGATGTTTCACTTCGCTCCAAATGGAGCTTGCCTTTATTCCTTGATTAAAACTATAACCTGAAAATGAATTCAATAGGAATTTCCATTACTAAAATTCATACATAGAATGACTAATTTTACTTCTGAATTTAAAGATCATGAACTTACATGATTTATCGTGAATGGTGGCTCCACAATCCGAGCTTACTTGTAGATAGGTGGAGGTGGGGAAGCATAGATGTAAGCTGGAGGGGGAGGTGATTTTACTGGTGGAGGAGGTGATTTGTAAATGTACTTCGGAGCGGGAGCTGGGGAGGGAGGAGGTGGTGATGTGTAATGGTATGGTGGGGGTGGAGATGGAGAAGGCGGTGGAGGGCTCACATAGTGGTAAGGAGGTGGAGGATACGACGTTGGTGGTGGAGGGGATTTGTAGTAGTAGGGAGGATGAGGAGTGGGAGATGGTGGAGGAGGACTTTGATAGTAGTAAGGAGGTGGTGGAGATGGGGATGGGGGTGGAGGGGATTTGTAATAGTATGGAGGTGGCGGTGATGGGGATGGTGGTGGGGGAGAGTGGTAGTAGTAGGGAGGGTGTGTGTTCTCTTTAGGTGGAGGTGGGGATTGATAATAGTAAGGTGGTGGAGGGGATGGTGAAGGTGGTGGTGGAGATTTATAATAGTATGGAGGAGGAGGGGATGGTGAAGGTGGGGGTGGAGATTTATAGTAGTATGGAGGGGGAGGAGAGGGTGATGGTGGAGGTGGAGAATGGTAGTAGTATGGGGGATTAGGTTTTGGTGATGGTGGAGGTGGAGATTGGTAGTAGTATGGAGGGGGAGGAGAAGGTGATGGTGGAGGTGGAGAGTGGTAGTAGTATGGGGGACTAGGTTTTGGTGATGGAGGCGGTGGAGACTGATAGTAGTATGGGGGATTAGGTTTTGGTGATGGTGGAGGTGGGGATTGGTAGTAGTATGGAGGGGGAGGAGAGGGTGATGGTGGAGGTGGAGAGTGGTAGTAGTATGGGGGACTAGGTTTTGGTGATGGTGGAGGTGGAGATTGGTAGTAGTAAGGAGGTTGAGGTTTTGGTGATGGTGGAGGTGGTGATTGATAGTAGTAAGGAGGTTGAGGTTTAGGTGATGGTGGAGGTGGAGGTGGAGAATGGTAGTAGTATGGAGGTTGAGGTTTTGGTGATGGTGGAGGTGGAGATTGGTAGTAGTAAGGAGGTTGAGGTTTTGGTGATGGTGGAGGTGGTGATTGGTAGTAGTAAGGAGGTTGAGGTTTAGGTGATGGAGGAGGTGGAGATTGGTAGTAGTAAGGAGGTTGAGGTTTTGGTGACGGTGGAGGTGGAGGTGGTGATTGATAATAGTAAGGAGGTTGAGGTTTAGGTGATGGTGGAGGTGGAGAATGGTAGTAGTATGGAGGTTGAGGTTTAGGTGATGGTGGAGGTGGTGATTGGTAGTAGTAAGGAGGCTGAGGTTTAGGTGATGGAGGAGGTGGTGATTGGTAGTAGTAAGGAGGCTGAGGTTTAGGTGATGGAGGAGGTGGTGATTGGTAGTAGTATGGAGGCTGAGGTTTTGGTGATGGAGGAGGTGGAGAATGGTAGTAGTATGGAGGTTGAGGTTTAGGTGATGGAGGAGGTGGTGATTGGTAGTAGTAAGGAGGCTGAGGTTTAGGTGATGGAGGAGGTGGTGATTGGTAGTAGTAAGGAGGCTGAGGTTTAGGTGATGGAGGAGGTGGTGATTGGTAGTAGTATGGAGGCTGAGGTTTAGGTGATGGAGGAGGTGGAGAATGGTAGTAGTATGGAGGCTGAGGTTTTGGTGATGGAGGAGGTGGAGATTGGTAGTAGTATGGAGGTTGAGGTTTGGGTGATGGTGGAGGTGGAGACTGATAGTAATAAGGCTTTGGTGATGGTGGAGGTGGAGATTGATAGTAATATGGAGGTTGAGGTTTAGGTGATGGTGGAGGTGGAGATTGATAGTAATAAGGCTTTGGTGAGGGTGGAGGTGGAGATTGATAATAATAAGGTTTAGGTGATGGTGGAGGTGGAGAGTGATAGTAATATGGAGGGTTTGGTTTTGATGATGGTGGAGGTGGAGATTGGTAATAATAAGGAGGTGACTTCACTGGTGGAGGTGGTGACTTGTAAACATAAGTAGGTGATGGTGGAGGCGGTGACTTGTAAACATAAGTGGGTGATGGTGGAGGTGGTGACTTGTACAAGTAAACAGGAGATGGTGGAGGAGGCGACTTGTAGTAGTAAGGAGTTGGTGAAGGCTTGGGCTTTTCACAGTCTTCAAAGTGCTTCTTTGAAGCATAAGCGAATGGCTTAGCCTTGAGTACAACTTCATATTTATCTTTGGATTTAACCTTCAAGTCTGTTCCCTCATTCAACTTGGTGGGTATGTTGAATGGAGAGTCCTTGGGTGGAGCATGAAGCTTCGCCTTGCACACTGTGGACCCGTATTTTGCATAGTTGAAGTCCTTAACTGTGATGCTGTATTTTCCATTGCTCTTGGTTTCACCATACGCCTTAATGATGTTTCTTCCTGCTTTGCATTTAACCTCCACAACAGCACCTGCATGCACCCCCCAAAATCATTAATTGCAATTCACTAACACCATGTTATAATTAAATTGAAACAAAAATACTATGTTGGATTGCATCACTAAAATAAATAAAGTAGTTCAACTATCCTTGTCAGTAGCATATATATTATATTAGTAAGAATCATTTAAAGGTTAATCACATTCTTTTTTTTATTGATGATTGTTTCTTTATGTATTACAGGCTGTAGCCAATTCTAATAAAATATATCAACAATTTAACACATAAATAATAATTTTATTTAATATCTTTGTTTTTTTTTCATTTAAAATAATTAATTTTTTAATGGAGATAAAGATACTACTAAAAGTAATAGATGATGCACAAATGTATAAATATTTAAAAAATTAATTGAGATAGAGATATGATTAAAAATATAATAATTAACCTTTAAAAAGAACAAATAAGAAGGGAAACAATCTTTCTTGGTAAATAATAAGAAGTTTTTTTTGGTAACAAATTAATGGGGGACCACGTTATAATTTGAAATGCCTATTAACCACATTATAAAACGTTCAATTGTGCATGTATTTGAAAAAGGGTACTCTACACACTTTAATTTAGCAATTTATACTTTCAGCTTTGGTTCAGTCTTTTTCTCAAACCTAACATGTTTATCTTGATTAAAACGTGAACTAACATAAACGATAATTGTTAAAAAGCGAGACAACTAAGAAAAAGTGCTTGGGTAAACGTGAGTAATTGTAAAAAAGCAGAGACATTTATGGAAACATAGGAGTCTTAACCCAAAAAAGTAGCTGCTGATGAACATAAAAATGGCAGTTCCCGGGTCCGAAGCACGAAAAATAACAGTTTAACGATAGCATTATTGAGCATGAGTTTTAAGGCAACGATAATGATGTAAATAGTGTGGGTGTGTACCTTTGAGGTGTTTCCTGTTATGAGACTTTTCGGGATACTCCCAATCATAGCACTTGTAGCTGTAGACTTTACCCACTACCTTGACAATCAACGGGTGGTGGTGGGGATGGTAGGGGTGTGGGGGATACACAACTGGTGGAGGAGGAGAGTTATAATAGTAGGGAGGTGGATATTTGGGTGGTGGTGGAGAACTGTAGTAGTAAGGAGTGGGTGAAGGAGGAGGAGGAGACTTGTAATAGTAGGGAGTTGGGGATGGTGGTGGTGGAGACTTGTAGTAATAAGGAGCTGGGGATGGAGGAGGAGGAGATTTGTAGTAGTAAGGTGGAGGGGGTGGAGACTTATAGTAGTAAGGAGTTGGAGATGGTGGTGGTGGAGACTTGTAGTAGTAAGGTGCTGGGGATGGGGGAGGAGGAGATTTGTAGTAGTAAGGTGGAGGGGGTGGAGACTTGTAGTAGTAAGGGGTTGGAGATGGAGGAGGAGGAGATTTGTAATAGTAGGGTGGTGGAGGAGGGGGAGACTTGTAGTAGTAGGGAGTTGGGGATGGAGGTGGTGGAGACTTGTAGTAGTAAGGAGCAGGCGATGGAGGAGGAGGAGACTTGTAGTAGTAAGGTGGAGGGGGTGGAGACTTATAGTAGTAAGGAGTTGGGGATGGTGGTGGTGGAGACTTGTAGTAGTAAGGAGCTGGAGATGGAGGAGGAGGAGACTTGTAGTAGTAAGGTGGAGGGGGTGGAGACTTGTAGTAGTAAGGAGTTGGGGATGGTGGTGGTGGAGACTTGTAATAGTAAGGAGTTGGAGATGGAGGAGGAGGAGACTTGTAGTAGTAAGGAGTTGGGGATGGTGGTGGTGGAGACTTGTAATAGTAAGGAGTTGGAGATGGAGGAGGAGGAGACTTGTAGTAGTAGGGTGGTGGTGGTGGAGGAGACTTGTAGTAGTAAGGAGTTGGAGATGGTGGTGGTGGAGACTTGTAGTAGTAAGGAGTTGGGGATGGAGGAGGAGGAGGAGACTTGTAGTAGTAAGGAGTTGGAGCTGGAGATTTTTCAGGTGGAGGTGGAGACTTGTAATAGTAGGGTGGTGGAGGAGATGGTGAAGGAGGTGGTGGGGACTTGTAGTAGTAAGGGGGAGGAGGTGAGGGTGATGGGGGTGGGGGAGATTTGTAGTAGTATGGAGGAGGAGGTGAGGGGGAGGGTGGTGGAGGTGACTTGTAGTAGTAGGGAGGTGGAGGGGAAGGGGAAGGAGGTGGTGGTGACTTGTAATAGTATGGTGGAGCCTCGTGCTCATATGGTGGTGGAGGAGGAGACTTGTAGACGTAAGGAGGCGATGGAGATGGTGGAGGCGGTGACTTGTACTCGTAAGGAGGTGGTGGTGAAGGAGATGGTGGTGGAGGTGATTTGTATTCGTAGGGTGGTGGGGGAGAGTAGTAAGGGTAACCATCAGCATTAACGGAAACCACAGTGGTAGAAAGCAAAGCAATGGCAAATGCCAGGGCCATTTGCGGCCAGAGACGACCCCTTATGGGGTCGTTGCCCCTCGCAGTCATGCGTAGAAGGAAAAAGCTGACCTCCTCTGAGCAATGCTTCTTCTGAGATGCTCACTGAATTTGGTGGAAGGAAGAGGAGGATGATGATTGAAGGAGGGGTTTGGTGTTAGTGATGGCTGACAAAAGCTGCATGCAATACTTAGTACTTATAGTGAAAGTGAGTCGTTAGAGGGGAGCTGTCATGAGGGACCAATTCAAACTATTTTATTTCCTTCATTTTCATTTTTAATGCTTTAAATTAAGCTTCCCCAGCTGGCCTTGTGACTTTCTTCAACCCTTCTTTTGTAAACTCTTCCTTATTTTGTTTTCCTCCAAATGGCCACAACCTTATAAGCCTCTATTCCCTTCTCCAACTACTGATTAAAATATATATCACCATCTTATACGTTCCACAATAGTATTGAACACTACTTACCCTAAATAATGTCCTGTTCTTTTATCTTTCCCTCCCCCTCAGTTGCCCATCTTGACCAAAAAGTAACTCCAAAATGCTTTATTCATCTCTTTCTCTTTACTTTTTTTTTTTTTTTTCCTGTTGTTTCGATCGAAGGGAAAGAATCATGCATTTTGCATCACGGATCCATGAGGGGTCATCATTTTTGTTCCACTCCTCGATGGCAGCCATTGCAAGCTTTGGATCAAATCCTCTTTTGTTCATGGCTGAAGATATTTTGACTCTTCAAATACTATTTTTTTCAGTACATTTTCAAACACATGCTTTTGGCAGTTTCTGATGAAGAATAACCCAAAATTGCCTTAAATTGCTACACGTCCACGTGTTCGTGGGGTTACCATACAAATCAAATTAAGTCCATTATAATATAGAAGTATTATACATTTGGTTAATTTCTTCTAAACCGTATATCCACAATATTATACACTTTCAGAAATTAAATTGCCCGAATACGTTGATTCCAGCGGGGTGGACAGTAAGTGGGAAGAAGGAGACAGAATGAGAAGGTGCTATGAGAAGAGTACAACTCCATCACCACTTGGATCACTACACCTGTTCATGCTTTTTTTCTTTCCTTTTTTTCTCTTTCTTTAAGAATTTTCTGGGCCATGTGATTCCTCAATGATGAGATTAACATGTGATGTTGTCAACACCAGCATGAAGTGCACGTTGCTGCTTTTGCAGCTAATTCGTGGTACCCAAACTTTAGAGGGAACTGATAAAAAGGGCTAGAGACAGTAACCAGTGGAAAATGGCGATTTTCAGACTAAATTCATTTCGTGAAAGAAATAATAATTGGTGTTTTATTATTCTATCTTCAACTTTAGCTACCCTCTGCATTTCTAGAAAACGACACTTTCTGTTCCAATCCATAGCCAGAAGTAAATATTTGAGCATTGGGTGTGCCTCTTCACATGTTCATCTGAGGTGAATTTCAAAGAGAAGTTCAAAGATAGATCTCTGCGCCATGCATTGGTTTTGGCAACTGACCAATGTCTGCATGTAACAAAAATTTATGACATGAATAATAAAAAACCGTAACATTAATGAATGAAACGTGCACACTATTGTTCCCCCCCTATAAAACTGTGTTTGGCCCTGCTGGATAATATAATATAATTGAACAACTAAGCATTTGGAAATTAAGAATACCCCTACTGTCCCAAGGAGGAGAAATCGGGTACGTTTCTCTATGATGCTCCGGACATATCTAGCTTAATATCATGGTTTGAAGAGTCAAGATTCCCTGATAATCTCTTTTTCCCTGCAAATGGAAATTAACAAGTGAGTTTTACACGAGCGTAGTTCTTGAACTGTAATTATGTATGATGTGCACTGCTTTGAAGGGAAATGTGGTAACTTTTCCTGGTTCATTTACTAACCCTTCTTAAGGCTAAGCTGGTGCCAGGGCATTGTAATTTCATGCCCCAGTGGTCAAGGTGTGTGCATTAACTGTGTCCCCATGTGAACCTACTTGGTGCTCATTTTTCTAATTTCTAATAGCCACCCATCTCATCTCTCTCTCATTGTTTATTATAGTCAATGCCGTGCAGTATAACGTCTCTGAATTGAGGTGTAAATAGACATAAAATTGGTTAGAGATGTTGAGTTTGAGGGAAATTAATAACTCTGTTGGAATTGATTAGAAACGTTAAACGTAAATTGGATATTGGTTCCATGCATAATGGGATGCGATGTGGTGGTGATAGTGGGTGGAAAAGTTATAATTCGTAGTGAGAAGGATTGGACAGTGGCGGACAGTTTGGAAGGGAATAATTAGTTAAGAGGAAACGTGAGTCCCTTTCGATGCTTATAATGTAGGAATGATAGGAATAAATCACAGTGAAAAAAGAAATAATCAAAGAAAGACTTTTCCTTTAAGGGCAGATAATTATTATGTTGAACTTGTTTGGAGGACCACACCATCAACCACTTTTGGTCCAGATATTCTCACGTTTAGGTGTGGTGCAGGTTGTTACAATCTGCAGAATCAAGTTATCTCAGGACCTCATCTTACCTGTGATTACAAGTTTTTTCCTTTTTCTTTTGTTAGATCAGTTATGAGGTTCTCTGACTAGAAATTCAGACTCTGGTTTTATGCTGTTTACAGAGCAAATATATATATATATATTTGCAGTACCAGATTCATTTATGTAGCCAATGCTTTTCGTAGCTTTTGCTTATTTTGTCAATTTTGTACAATTCTCCCTTATTATTATTGCGATGACTTGAATGTTAAACGAGGAAGGTGAAATGAAACTTCTTTCTCTCTTTTTGCAAAAGAGACATTGACCTGATTAATCACCTAATGCTTAAAGAAAGCATTAGAATAGCAAGACCGAAGATGTAAAAGAGGACTTTAGTGACAGCATAAACATAATAATTGAATCTGTTTGGTCTTTCAATAATTAAACGGGAAAAATATGTATATAAATAACCAAACGTAAGGGTTATTACTGTCAGCTGTAGCAGAATGAATTGATGACATAAATAAACTGTTACTGGTCCAAATAGAAAACAAACACCTTGAAGTTAAGATGACAACATAGGACACATATGCATAAATTATGAAGGACATACAAGGATGTTGACAATGACAGGTGGATGCTTATCACAATTAGTTGTTGACCAACATATGTTAAAGCTAAAATGTGAACAAAATAAAAGTACATGGTGAGTGAAGAAAACTTCAAAATGGTGAGTGACACAATATGGGGTAGTAGCATAGCAGTGATGTGATGAGGCCTGCAATTGAGTGCAATTAAAGATATCATAATAACTTTCATTATTTTAGCAGATAATGATCAAATGAGAAGTATGTCTACGCTTATTCTTTCTCCAAATCTGATTCTTATTCTTTCATAACATTTTCACATGATCCTTTTATTTCCTCTGATCTGATTCGCTTTTGAAACATGACAGTACCAAATTGCCACTATAAATGCATAATTTTCTCGATGTGTCTTCAGCATTCAACAATTCATTTATTATTCTTCTATGCTCGTCAATCTTATATTACTCACTCTATACGCTCTTCACTCTTAATCCAACAACTTGTCTTTTAAAACAAATCGTCTCACACCAAAATTTGAAATCAAACAATGACACTTTCGTTCACCAACTTCAAATTGACGCAAAAAAATCGCAAATTTATCGAAATTAACAGAAGATGAAACAGAGGTAATTAGAGAAAACATATGTATCGTATTTGAAAACTAGAAACGAGACAAAGAAGCAGCAGTAGCAGACATATTGAACGAGTCCCAAGGTAAAACTGGGCAGACAACTCCACGTTTGTTTTGGAATGTTTAAATGGGAAATATGTTTCTTTAATAACAACATGACAATCAAATGCTTTTAAATATATATATATATATATATATATATACAATGTCCTACATGATTTTCCTTTATTTAAACGTTTAATAAAAAATTGTATTTAAATCAACAATTTTATTTTTTATGGATAAATCAACAGATAGTTAATTAGTAACTTATTAATTTTGTGATTTTGAATACAATTTAAAGAATACTGAAACATTGATTTGATAGTATTTAAGATTTGGAACATTGTCTTTTCCCCCTACTAATTACTACTGCAAATGGAATATGAAAACTCAAAGCTATGAGATTCACTGCAAAACAGAGACTTTAGACTTTTATTTTTATGGGTTGAGCAAAAACAAATAATCATTGTTTAACACAAACATGCACCAAACGCCATTGTTGATTCACATGTTTTTGAAGGAGGGTTTGAGTTTGATTAGTTGTATATTATTGATTGCTTGATTAGAGAATCAACTTGACTTTGATAAATTGAGTAATGAATGGCATCAAGAATACGTAATAAACGTTAAGAAGACACAAACACAATACTAGACTCACCGACAACATAGAAAGTAGGAAATAGCCGTTGTAGAAGGATGAGGAAGGAGCAATCATATATAATGTAAGTTGAGTGTATAATGATATAATAAGTTTCAATAATGGTTTCTTGTGGTATTATTAAAAGGTTGCTATTTCAATATAGATTTGAATTTTGTTGTTTGTTTATTGACATTTGATACCATATTTTAAAAATATAAGGAAAAGGACATTTTTACACATGTCACTCCATTCTATATGTTTTTGTTACGAATCACAATTTTTAACTCCTCTTATTAATAATGCTACCCTTCTATCCATTATTTCACTATTTCTTAGCATTTAATTGATTTTAGTATAAAATTGCAATGTTAGCTTGAGAAGAATGTATATTGTTGGGTACAGCTGTGATATGTTTAATGATTGTGTGTTGACGAGGCGTGGAGCACGTGCATGATTGATGTCTTCCCTCAGCCGCCGGGGCCCATGCCCAGGCCCAGAGGCCCATGTAACCACAACATACTTGCAATTCTTTTATTCTTCTTGTTTACCTCCAACCGTTTCGTTACTTTCTTTGGATCTGAATTCTTCATGCCATTTATTTATGCAGATTTCATGAATGTGTTTTAGAAATGAAGCTAAAATCTACTGAGACATACAAATCTACAACTTTAGTTACGTT